TCATTTCTATTTTTTCTTCCACTGTTAAAAAATCCATTATGAATGCTTAACGAAAGGAGGTCTTTTTGTTTGCAAATTAATCTTCGAACTAAATTTATTAAATAATGCTTAACTATAAATAGTTTCTTTATACCTCAATAATAATTATTATTTATAACTAAATACCATTTTTTTATACCTCAATTAGGATTAAATTAATTAATTGACAAAATAATGCTTTTTTACCTTAAATAAGGTATTTTTATTCAAAATAGTACAATAATCCTTTAAATTAAAGGATTTAATGCCGGCAGGTAAAAAGTGACCATGGTGCGCAATTAATAATTATCACCGAATGAAATAATGTATAAAACATAAACCAAAGAAAACTTAAATATTAGTTAAAAAATCGTGGATACTTAAAAAAATCAGATTTAATTTAATAAGATAATTATTACCATTTTTATAGAAAAATTATTTCAGAATCGTACCTATACAGAAGAAAAATCGAACAAAATTGATTTTTTTATTACAGCGCCATCTATTACAAATATGAAAAAATGTTTTAGACAAAATCTATACCTATTTTTAGTCGAATGATCCGAATCTACAATAAAAAATAGGGTGTTCCATTGGAAATTTTAAAGTTACCCCCTGTTCCCCCTAGTATTACCTACTAGTATTACTAACTGAGTATTACTAGTATTACTAACTGAAATATTTCAAAGTTTCTAGTTAAATGACAACCCTGTATTTCAAGTATACTTCTTGAGAATCTTTATTCAAACAATATGAATATGATTACGGAAAATTGAACATTATGGTAACATTCTGCAAATTTATTGCATGTTTGCGTTACAATCTCGTTACGTCAAGTATCACTTAAGCATTCATAATGTCACAGTTACTTGTTTGCAGACACTTTAGATAAACTGCGTATAAAGTTCCACTATTTTATATTTAATTATTATTAATAATATTAAATGTGAATTGTTTTATTTTTTTATCTTTTTTTTTGTAATAAAATTGGTTTCTACAGGGTGTTATGTAATATACTAAAATGGGTAGTTCCGTGGGGTCCATAAAGAGGCACCTGAAACTTTTTTTCTTAATTCCAAAGACTAAAAATAATTTATAATAACTACGCCACTGATCGACTAGGAACTTTAGGCTAATCTGGTTGCCTAATTTAATTTATTATGTTATGGTTGGTAACAACCAGCGTTTACAGATTCTGTCAAAAAAGTTGCCAAATTTTGTTTAAATTGGCTTAATTTAAATTTAAATGTGCTCAAATTGTAAATATCTTAACTTAGTACTGGAAACTGCAGAATCTGCAGTGCAGATTGCAGTTAAGCGACCGGCCGGCGTCTTATTTCAAGCAGGAAATCATTTCATTGGTTATCTTAGGTGGTGTGATGCTTTACACCCGAAAACATTGTCCAATATTGTAAAATATATATTCTAACTCAAAGTTATACTATACAGGGTGTTATGTAATTAATGTTATATATTAAAATGGGTAGTTCCTTAGGGTCCATAAAGAAGCACCTGAAACTTTTTTTTTCTAAATTCCAAAGTCTAAAAATAATTTATAATAACCTTTATCCTACCAATAAGTACGCCACTGATCGACTAGGAACTTTAGGTTAATCTGGTGGATTTATTATGTTATGGTTGGTAACAACAGTGTTTACAAAATCTCTCTAAAAAGTTGACAAACATTGTTTAAATTTAGCTTAATTACAAAAATGACACAATTAACAATGCAAATTGTCAATTTGGCGTTTTTATTAATTGTTGGTTATTTCATTTTTGTACTGAAGGTAAATTCAAACAAAATCTGCCAACTTTTATGACAGAATCTAGTGCATTTCTTTTAAATTTTAGGTTATGTTTTCAAATTGTAAATATCTTAACTAAGGGAAGTGCTTTTGGATTTATTTACACAAATTAAATGTTTAAAGTTTAACCTGTGAACTGGTCCCAATTTCATCTGAGTAAACAGAGAAAAAAACTGATGAAAAAATTAATTTTGTGGTTACGGATTTCAAATTTCAAAGGTACTAAATCTTCTAATCATTGCTTAAGCTAATAGCTGGATCAGTAAATAAATACAGAAGGGTATTAGAGCTTTAAGGGCATAAAACTTTTGTATTTATTGAGTTTTTATTTATTTTTTGAAAGAAAAATTTTTAGTAACAATTTTTTACATCAGGCAACGCATAGCTACTTTGTTGGTTGGTATCTATGTACTCACAAAATACAAGTGTGCAGAGATAAACCAAGTGTGTAACCAGTGGCGTATCACAAAAAATATAAAAAACTTCTAATGCATATTTTTTCTTTATCTTTGGAAAAATGTTTTTTTAAATATTTTTCCTTTATTCCTTATGTTAAAAGGTATTCAGTATTTTAATATATAACATTAATTACATAACACCCTGTATAAAATCTTACTTTTCCCAACAAATTATAGAAAATTAAACAAACTAATAAAAAAAACCAAGCCAACATTCTACCCACCTAAACTACCTAGTTTATAAACATGCAACAAAATAAAGGATAATTTCTATATTTATTCTTAATTGGAATGAAGAAATTGGCCTTAAGGGTGCGGTAATGGTCCCATACATTCGTATTGAATTTTATTTGCTTTAGAAGGTGCGCCCAAAACAAATTGTACAATTAATTTCAATTGCTGGTAACGACATTTTAATTTATTATTCTATTGTTTTTCATAAAAAAACAATTAAAATTAATTATGGTAAAAAAAGGTTCAAAAATGGTTAAGTTAAATCAAATAGGGTTCAGTTCTTGGTAAACAAGTAAATCCTTTGGAAGTTGCAAGAAAGGAAATGTTCGATTATTTGTTTGTTGGTTTAGTTGACCCCAAGTGGGACTTAAAGGGCTTTAAACGAGGAATCTCTGTCAGAGATTCGCTTAACATACCCTAAATTAAATTTGGTTTAGGTTTTAAGCAACCACAATGACTTATTAAATACTTAAATGTGTTTCTTATGTACTATTGGAAAGTTTATTTTATTTTTATTAATATTACTTACATCATTAAAGCAAGAAGCCTTATAATCGTAAACTTTAAACACCTTTTAAAAGCTTTCACTAATCAATAAAGATAAGTAAAGCCAGTGGCGGCTCGTGGGTGTATATGGGTTGTTTTCCGCTGTCCGTAAGTTTGAACTCCAATCTTATTGATTTAAAAACTAAGTGAAAGCCTAACAAGCCCTTAGTAAACTCTTTCAAAATGTTTGTTTAGTTATTTCAGAATAATTTTTTTTTTAATTTTGAAACTTGTGAAATACACATTTTCGCATGTCCCATTACCGTTTTATAAAACTTAATACATGTTTTTTTTTAATATTGAAAAACCAGAACTTTGTGTTGCTTTATAGCAATCCATAATTATGTTAACATCCTTAGTTAATACAGTAAACAATTTATATATAAATTAATTAATTTTAATATACTTTTTTTAAATTTGACTCATGTCCCAGACATTTTTTCCGCTGCGTTACGTCCGTTGCGTTACCGATAGAATATTAAAAAAAACATATAAATGGCAACTTTTTTGGCACTCACGTGATCAACAAATGATGTTCGAATGTACGCATTACCCAGCTGAATTTATTTATTCAATCAGGAAGAAGATATTGGTTGAAACAGGTGCGGGTAACGCGAATGTAATAATTGTTTGTCCGCTAAGTTACTCAAAAAAATAATAAAAATAACGTAAGAAAAAATACTATTTTTCATGTTTATGTTTATTTTAGGACACTAAAGCTAATTGAGAGTAATTAATGACTGTTATGTTTTATTATTATTTTTTAAATATGGTTTCACAAAACTTTCCACTGCTTTACCGAGTCTATTATGTTACCTTATGGTAACGCAATGGAATTTAGGGTAACGCAATAGAATTTTTCGACAACAAAGTGGATATTTACCGTCACTTTTATTAAAAGTAGTTTATGATAAACCAATTTAAAATTATTTGTGATTAAACTCATGATATAGATTACATCCAAGGGAAAATTCCACGCAATATACAAGTACTAAAAGGGACGCAAGACCAGCTTATAGTCAAAGAAAAAGGGTGTCTACAATTTAGAGTTTTTAGTTGTTATTGTGCAAGTGAGCACCACTACAAGGGATTTTGTTCATGCATTCCTTCAAAATCGTACCATCCTATATAGTTTCTTTTTTACGTTATCTAATTAAGTCCTTTGTGTACCCCAGTCGGTTGTGATACCAATGTCATTTCGTTACGTGTTTATAAATTAGACTTTAACTCACTAATACAGTGACTAAAAGAAAATATAAATGGTATTGATTTTTTAACAAAGAATCGGAATGGTTTCTTTTAAAAAGTAACTTAACGACCATAAATATTTAAAAAAGCATACAATTTTTAATAAAAAATAAAATAAAAAATTGGAGTCAAAAGTTTGTGAACTAAGTACATTTTATTTCAAATTATTTTTATAACTACTTTTTTTATTGAATTAAATTTTGGATTTCAAATTGGTAACACACTTGAGATACCTATACATATTAAGCTAGCTAAACACAATTTTCTGAAAAAAACGTAAACGGATACGAATTTTATTTTTTAGTTTGTAGTTTATGTTTTGTCATGTTTATTTTATGTTTTCAGTGTCAGTTTATATTAAGTTTAGGTATTCTAATTTCCATATTTTTTATAGGTTGCTGAATACATAGGTATCTAAATTAATAATTTAGTTTCATTTTCTTTTACCAACCTCGCATCCCTAAAATTATTAAAATTTTTAAATAAATTGGAAAAATTAATATTAAACAATGTTGTGTTATTATGTGCCACAATTTGTGCAATTTCACCATAAAATATTATATTAAGTCTCTAAATTTAATTAATTTAATTTACGAGAGTAATTTTTTCTGAAAATTCGGAATAATGAAAAAATTGTTTATTCTATTTTTCGTAAGAAAACCTGCCTGATTATATTTTTATTTTTTTCAGAGACCTACAGAAAAACAACATAACAACCATCAATGAGTTCGACTTTCAAAATCTGTCAAAGTTGAGAATACTGTAAGTACAATATATATTTTCAATAGGCACGCAATATGGTAAAGTGCTTCAAGAGTGCGTTGCGTACTCTTGTGCACGCTACCATATAGTTTTGTGCTAATTTTAATGCATGTGTTGAATTATTCTAGGCAGTTGACAGATAATCATATACAGATCATAGAAAGGGAGTCTTTTCGAGATCTAGTAAAATTAGAAAGAATGTAAGTAGTTTTATTACAAAAGGGTAAATTTCACGTAATGGGGCGATTTCAGAGAAATGGCTAAAAAAACAAGCTAAAAAGTATTTACAGTCGTTTTCCTAAGGCATGGTCAGAATGTCTGTAGAGTAGACAGTTATTGGACAATTAACACTAATACTGTAAAAAAAAGAGTTTTATAAATAGTTACCTTAAAGTCAAATCATTAGATGACGATGTATACAATTATAAATATCTCAGTCGGTTATAATAAAGAACTACTTTATTTTGGGTCCAATAAGGACAAAAAAGTTCGCACGTTACTTTGGTGGTAAGATTTTTGTTTTTTTTTGTTAAGAGCAGGGCTGTGTTTAAATTACGATAAAAAATATTTCTAAAAAGTGTACAGATCAGTGTGTGGTATAAATGTGTTCCTCATGGTTTAAACATTGTCACTTTAATGCGTTTTAATTTTAATTCTGAAAACAAACAGTAAAATGGCCAGTGTCCAATTACTGGTTGGTAAAAAATGTAAATGTCTATTATTGGACATATGTCCAATATCATACCCTATTTGTATCCCAGACATTTACCAGCCAATTCTTAAGTAAAATTGTCCCCTGAATCCGAAAAGATCGTCAAAAACTATAAAAGTTAAGCAGTTTTTGAGATATAGTCAATTCCATATTATATGTAAAATTTATTATATTTAAAAAACTGTTCTACTTTTATAACTTGACGACATTTTCGGATTCAGCGAATAATATTTCATAGAAATTGACTGCTAAATGTCCTGGATACAAATTGCTGTTGACAAGAATTATTAGTGGCTGCTTTTTCGCTATGACATTTTTGACTAATTAGGTAATTATAAGTAGTATAGTGATTTCTTCGTCACAGGACATCTTCCAGAATAACAGTGCATGATAGAGAACATAAAAAACTAATGGCAACTGAATTATTAAATTTGGAAAATACTTATTACATACCACCCGAAAAAATATTAGATATATATAAATCATCCTGTTCCGGCCTAAACATTATAAATGCTTCACAAACTAGAGATACCACACTTAATGATATTTGCAACAAACTATTTCAGAAGTCAGACCAAGGAATTAGTAGTTACCTTCAGAATCCAGAAAAGGGATGAGGAATCCGAGAAAGAAATATATGAATTATATGATATTTATAAAAACAATATAAAAAAATTACCTAAAACAGCAATTTATCTTTAAAAAATTCAAATATTCTTATTTTTTAAGTAAACGTACCTAAATAAAGTTTAAACAAACAAACCATCATTTTTATATATTTATAGGAAAAAAACTAAAATCTTTAAAACAACGGCATTATATAAATTTTAAATAAATAATTTTCCTGTCAATAACTATGTGGTTTACCCTATAAAGAAAATGTCTTACGAAAAATCTGAAATTGTCCTTTTATATGAAATGAAGCCAAAGAACAGCTTAAAAAAATGTCGTATTTAGGTATTTATAGGTTATTTTTTGTAGACGCCTCAATGGAAATAATATACGGCACATACCAGATAATCTGTTTTATTCCATGCCGGGTTTGTTTCGTTTGTAAGTACAAGATAAAAAAAATAATACAATTGGTGTTTGGTGTTTCATAGTCGTATCTGTGCTTACGGCAAAATCACTCGCACTTAAGCCTGATTTATAGATTGCCTTCCTTCCTTCCTTCCTTCCTTCCTTCCTTCCTTCCTTCCTTCCTTACTTCCTCCCGTAGAAGATAAACAATACAATCCCGTACGGGAATCTATAAACGGCACTACGGTTTTCGTATTGTTCATATTTTACGGAAGGAAGGAAGAAAGGCAATCTATAAATCAGTCTTTATAAGAGCTTACGTTAACAAAAGGTTTTAAGTCTAAAATTTTATAAATTAACATTTTTTATTGTATACTCTTTTAAAAGGGACGTAGCGTATATTCCAATATTTTCAATGATTCGAGTGTCGAACTTAAATATTGATGATTTTGCAAAATTTTGTTATTTGACGGAATTTTTATAATTATTTTAATTATGATTATTTTCTAATTATTCTTTGCCCCGGGCGAAACATGCTTTAGCTACGCCATTGATCTTCAGGCCAAATCTTTGAAAATGTCGGCTTTTTAATGAAAATCACCCCCCCCCCCATAATCGGAACCTTCGCTATGTCCCTGAGTGTAGATTTTGTTTTTTACAATCATTTGTACAAATATATGTATTCATTATAAATGTAACTAACCCTTTTCATATTGTGTTAACAAATTAAACTATTTTTACTTCTTCAAAATGTCAATATCATTAAAAATGCATCGCGTTATATATACAAATAATTACCAATTATAAAAATTATAATCCTACTAATTAAAAGTTGTAACATTTTTATTTAAATTTATAAGGCGATTATCAATTGATCCTTAATTCTTAAATATATATAATCCAATTAATTAACTTTTAAGTTATGTAAAACACGTATTTTAAGCTTTAAATAACAAACAAAAACATTTTTATAATATCTTTACAACAGTTTTAATTAGTTTTAAAACATCTTAGGACATTTAATACATTTCTAGAAGACATTTTAACAATATATTATGTATCAAGTTTAATTTAGACTTGCGAGTGAGTGCTTGAATTAATAAATGTCTAGAAAAGTTTATAAACCAGTTGCGTACTATACTTTTTCTACGACAAATTATTATCTAAAATGATTTAAATTAAATATTTGTTTAAAGCGACATCTATATGAAAATAAAGTAACCATCCCAATAAACATTTTTGACGTAATTATCACCGTTAACATTGCCCGTTAATAATTTTAATTTAACTTAACAATTATTGTTACTTTAATTGCAAAATATTATCGCAAAGTATTAAAAATTCTTACACGGGAAATGTTAAAGGTACAAAAAGTGACAGTTGTATTTATTGGAATTCCCGTTAGAATTTCTAACTTGGTAATCTACCGTTAAAATCTCAAATTATTCTGTGTATATCAAAATGTATCCCTTGAAAATAGACTAACAATCGATATAGAAGCAGTTTTTCACTAAATTAAATTCTTATTTCTGTTCTTTGTAGATAAATTATAGTATAATATATGCAACTCGTTTTATAAACTTCTCTAGGCACTCGTTTAATTAGACACTCGCTTGTGTCTAATTAAAATTCGTGACTAAAATGGCATTCAGTTTTGAGACTGATATTTTTGTACAGTTTTAGAATAGGTATACATATGAATACAGCGTTAACACAGTTTTATGTGATAAAATTCGGTACAGGCAAAAATTTTTAATTGTTGTTATCAATTAACAAATTGTATATACGACGGCATATTGATTGATCCTTGGAAAAAAATGTGTAGAAAAACTGTCGAATAATAAAAAATCCTTTATCAGTCCTTTAGGTATCGTTGGAATAATTGTATTGAGCTAGAAGGAGATTATTTTAAAAAAAATAGGCCCAAAATATTGAATTTTCATATATGAGAATGTATACATTCTAAGGACTTATCAATATGCCCTTTTTATGTTAGATATGGTCGACTTTTATGTATCCCCCCGTGTTGTAACAGATTTATTACTGCTTTCTAATAAATGGCTTCTCTTACTTCATCATTCTTGCATTCTTTCTACCTGTTAGATTAATTAAAATATTCTTCTCAATGTTAAGTGGGTTTTTTATAAAAATATGTTTAATTTTGTTGTTTCTTTTTCAGAGATCTAAGTAGGAACCAAATTTCTGTGATCGGAAAGAAAAGTTTTCGTGGGTTGCAGTCTATAAAAAACTTGTAAGTACCAAAAAAATTTTCATAGGGTGTTAATAAATCTAAATATTTTTATTTTTATTTTAGGCAATTGGACAATAACCAGATTACATGTATCGATGATCAAGCTCTGAGAGGTTTAAAGGATATAGAAATATTGTGAGTACTTATCTATTTACAATGTTGCCATTGTTTCCGAAAATCCATAGACAAACTTGCTGCTAACACCCAAACTCAAAAGCGTATTCGTATTGTGATCGCATCGACTGAATAGGGCATGTAAACCAACTGGGACTGAAATAATACAATTTCTGTATTAATAGTCAACTATGACATTAATTCGTTGTTTCCAATAATTAACCATAAACCACCGCAACTGCGTCCAAACTGGACAGAAAGACTGGGGACTGTGTGTCAAAACAGATACAACAAATAGTTTTCAAACAATCAATAGCGATATACAGTGATTTAATTTGCAAGTCTAACAGACAACGGTGGCATAGCTTTTTAGAGAATTTTAATCAAATTACTGTACAGGGTGTGCATTACATTACATATTTTGATAAACAATTTAATTTGAAACAAAAAATTATAAATTCATAACTACCCTAACTTAAAAGTAAAACATTAGGCACATCTGATTGTTGTTGGTTAGTATAAGACAGTTATGCAATAATGGTAGATATACTACACCGGTTCGGCTCCACAACTTCAGTTTTCCGCCAACAGATGGCGCCATCAGTTGCTGTCCGCTACCTTGAAGGATAAAGTAGAAATATATTTATTTTCGGCCGCCAGATTGTACTATGCTCCACACCTCAAAGTCCCACCACGTGACCACGTACGGAACGCAGTCTTTTGAAAATTTGGCATTTAAGGCTTTTCAGGTTATGTATCTGTCAAAGTATAGTCAATGAAAGAAATAATATTTATAGTGTTACCGCTTATGTTTAAGCGTTAAAAGTTATTAAATCTTTATAGTATCACAATAACAATGGTTGGTTTAATTTAATGAAATTTAAAAAATTTAATGAAATTCCAAAGTGTAAGGTGCAATATTAGTGATATTTTTGTGCATTGGGTCTACATTTCTCCATAAAATAGTTTTAACTAAACAGCATTTATTAAAAAAAAATCTAACTTCTTTATTATGAAATAAGAATATTTGTATCAAAGGTAGGTTAATGTATTAAAACAAAAAATATCATCTAATTTTGTATTTTAAGGTTAGAAAAATCTATTTTGACCAAAATAAATAAGTGGATTATTTGAAAGAGTGTGTTAATATGGTCATAAATAAATATAAGTATACTAAATAATTTTTGAATATAGTTCAAATTAAATTGAAGCTTTTATACTTTTAACGACAAAACTTGTGCATACCTCTCGGCATACTTACTTTAAGTTAGATTATAAGAAAACAAACAAGTTTTAGAGAAACTTGCAATGTGAAAATATTTAATACTCCCATGACATGTGATTTATTAAAATTTTTAAAGTTATAATGATTATTTGATGTAGATCAAATTCAGTCGAAGCTTTTTAACTATTTGTATTGACAAAACTTTATGTAGGTACACTTTAAGCTGGGTAAGAAAAACTACCACATTTTTAAATACCATATTATACAGTCTTTTAAATAATCCAAAATACTTATTTATTTTGGTCAAAATAAATTTTTCTAACCTTAAAATTAGCAAAATTAGATGATATTTTTGTTATAATATATTAACCTACCTTTAATACAGATATTTTTATTCCATAATAGAGAAGCTAGATTTTTTTTAATAAATGCTGTTTAGTTAAAATTATTTTATGAAGAAAACCAGATATTTGGACCAAATGCACAAAAATATTACTTATTTGGCACCATAAACTTTAGAATTTCATTAAATGCAGTATTTATATTCTTAAATTCTTAAACCATCCATTGTTATTGTAATGTTATAAAGATTTATACATTTTTAACGCCTAAACATAATATTATTTCTTTCGTTGACTATACTTTGACATATACATAACCTGAAAAGCCTTAAATGCCAAATTTTCAAAAGACTGCGTTCCGTACGTGGTCACGTGGTGGGACTTTGAGGTGTGGAGCATAGTACCTATTGCGGATAAAGTAGATTTCTAGTTAACATACAACACTGCTTGACCTATTTATTCTCAGGGGGCGCTGGCTGCGATTCACCTGGTGGTAAAAAAATGAATTACACACATTAGATTACAGGTTACTATTTTTTCTATTTTAAAATGGCGGCCGAAAAGAAATAGATTTCTACTATATCGGTGAAGATGGCGGACAGCAATTGCTGGCGCCACCTGTTGGCGAAAAACGGAAGTAGCGGTGCCGAACCGGTGTAGTATATCTACTAATAATATTTTTGTGTTTCAAATTAAATTGTCTCTTAAAATATGTAAAAATATACAGGGTGTCTCATTTATAACAAAATTGTGAATATTTTGGAAACCCGACGTTCAATTGTTTTTTTTTGTTTTCAACATTTAATTCAGAAGAAAAAATGACACCAATTTGCTAATTTAACCGAATTCGTAGCTCCAATAATATTTTTTTTTTTTTTTGAGAAAAACCCAAAATTTTGACACAAAAAATTGTGATTTTTTATACAGGGTTTTCAAAAGCATTCATTCATTTTTAATTGTTTTTAATTTTTTTATAATTTCATTTGTTTTTAACTTCCTTTAAAAAAATACTAACAACATTTTCAGTTTTATTTTATGACATTTTTCAGTTCTTTAAAGTTCGATATTTTTTAGTTTTCTTTAAAAAAAATAATTTTTTGCAATCTTACTTTTTTTATATAATAATAGTACCTATATTAAAGAACTAATGTCATAAGACGTCATTTTGTCGCACGCGGACAATTTATAAAACGAGCGACGAGTTTTGTAATGGACGAGTGCGACAAAAGGTCTTATGACATGATTTCTTTATGCTATTTTATCTATTTTTTTAAAATTCTATAAAAAAAATTTATTTTATACCTTAAATTTAATTTGGTCGAATTTTACTTTAGATAGTTGGTATCACAGTCATTGGTTTGACAGTTAATGTCAAAATCGATTCGGCATGTCGTCCTTAATTGACTTATTTACAATAAGCGGCTGTTAATGTTAAAGATAAAAATGATTTTCTTTGGTGTAAAACAAAATTTATTGCCAGAAAAGTCTCGTAAGTACTAGAAAAATCATAAAAATATTATAACCAATATGCAAAATATTATGCTGTTTAAAGTATAGCCAACCTATAAAATCAAAATTTTGGGTGGGATAAAGTATCTCATTACAGCACCGAAAGCGGTATTATAATGAAGACATTATAAACGCAAAATAGAAAAAATAAATTTAAATAATGTATATGCAAATTTTATTCAAAAAGGTAAAGAAAACAAAAAAACTCACTTTTTGAACAAGTAACAATAAACATTTTAAAAAATCAATTTTTTTTTAATTCAAGACTTTTTCGGTTGGTTAAAAAAATGGAAAAAATTCACGAAAACGTTTTTAGTGGGGTAGTTAGTATAACATATAAAAATGTCAGCCAAATCAAAAGTGCTCAATACATAGGTATCTTCATAAATAAAAAAAATGTACTTACTCTTGTCCAGTTAAAATTGCAATCTGTTATCACTGTGCGATAATGCATTTTGCGGATAGCAAACACAATTAAGCTTATCTAGGCGCTATAACTCAAAACTAGCTGTCTATGCCGATATGTGTTTAGAATTTATTTCAGTTTGTTGATCATGTGTCAACACGTTGAAATTAAAATTTATCTCTGCAATCCTTACTACGTAGTTCTTTCCTACCCCTAACTTTTATTTAAACTTTAAAAACAAAAATAATTCTGCACATATTTAACATTCCAAAATTAAAAAAAGAAGTGTAATAATACCTAAATTCATATTTTTAGGACACTTAACAACAACAACTTGACATGGCTCAGCAAGGACATGTTCAGCAACATGTTCCGCCTAAGGAATCTGCGATTAAACGAGAATCCTTTCCACTGCGACTGTCAATTGTCCTGGTTGGCCAGGTACGTGAAGGCCAATCCCAGGTTGGGGCAATTTTCCAGGTGCTCCACTCCTGCAAACTTGAAAGGGCAAAACATCGTGGATCTGATCGACCAAGACTTCAAATGTTCAGGTAAATATAAGTCTAAATCAGCCGGTTTTACATTTTTAGGGGCCCAAAGCAAAAGTCGAAGAAGGGGCCCTTAATTTAGGAATAATTTAACCTAACTAACCTAGACTGTGCCAATACTATTTTAAATAAGTTTTTAGGTAACTTTTAAACAATCTTGGATATTTTAATGGGTTTAAAAATGCACAAATAAGGATAATAGATTCTTTTATAGATTAGTTAAAACTAAATATATTGTTAAAACTTTATTGTGCAAACTACACATGTCTGGGAATTTAAACTGTATAACTTTAAATGATCACTTAAATTCATGTAGATATATGCAGTTCTGGTAAATTTAGAAAGTTTTAAACTAAACTAGATATATTTTTTAATTCTATGCAAAAACTAATATTGTTAATTTTTATTTTAGTTTTTTAAGTTAAGTTTATATTAATTTCCTCATGCAACCTTATGCAACCCAGTATACATCAAACGTTACCTCTAATTTATTAAACTAGATGGCGCCAAAGTTTCTATCATATACGAGGTGTGTTCAGAAAATATCGGGAATTTTCGTTTTTTGAAACAAATATTTATTTATTCGTCTACATTAATGTTGTCGCCTTCAAAATAGTCCCCATTGGGTATTATGCACATGTGCCAGCTCTTCTTCCAATACTCGAAACACTTCTAAAACTCGATGTTTGGGATAGCCTTTAGTTCTTTCAGCGATGCGCTTTTAATGTCATCTATGCTTGCAAAACGACGGCCCTTTAAGGTTCTCTTTATTTTTGGGAATAGGAAAAAGTCAGACAGAGGCATGTCTGGCGAATATGGAGGCTGGGGCATCATTACAGTATTTTTTTTGGCCGAAAATTTTGTTCAAAATTTGACAATTTTAGAACAAATTTTGCTGCCAAGCGTTTCATACCCAAAACATTTGAAAAAAATTCATGGGATGAGCTAATCGATATACCAACACCATCAGCGACTTCTCTGATGGTTTACAACCATTTCTTCCACTTTTTCCATGTTTTTATCGGTTGTTAATGTGCTTGTGCGTTCGGGGCGTTCGTCATCTTCAACGTCTTCACGGCCATCTTGGAAACTCTTATACCACTTGTAAACTCTTGTTTTACTTATAGCAAACTCACTATAGGGCTTTGTTAACATTTCACAGAATTTATTTCATTTTTTAAGCAAAATTGGATACAATTTTTTTTTGATCGATTTCTTTTAACGAACGAAAAATCGCCGAGCTCATAAAACACGTCTAACTTTAGCGGCTGCCACAGACAAAGTAAACAATGAAAACAGCTAAAGTTTTTATCATACTTCGGGGGCATGTATACCAACATAATAAAGAAAATTTTATGACAACCGGACCCTCCAAACCCGCGAAATTTAACAATTCCCGTTATTTTCTGAACACACCTCGTACATACCTACAGTTCATTTTTTTGGACTCGTGTTTTTTTTATTAAGTTGGTAGCTTATGCCAGTTTGATTAAATACTCAGACACTGTCAAAAAAAACAATAATATTTATTTATTATATAATATCAATATAAAAAGATAACAAAAATAATATCAGATTCCAAATTAAAAGAACTTTTAAGGGCAAAACTTCATTTAGATGAAGTTATGCTAAATGCCTTAATGGCAAAAAGAGTACATCGCCTTATGGACATTTTTGGAGTAAAAAAGTAACGTTTTTGGTTTTACAAATATAGTATTTAATTGTAAAAATCTAGTATAGTCGCGGCCAAATCTGTATGGGTGCACGTCATCAACGGCATATGACGTCAGCGTTAAGGTCTATTCATACGTGCCCAGACACAATCTAACGCTCGTGCATTGTTGACTGTTTATAGCGGTGGGGGCTGTTATTAAGATGGAATTATAACGTCCTTGTTATAATCTTCTGCACTAACTAATTAGGAGTTTGTTACAGGCAAATTTTTATTAAATGTGTTTAAAGAGAAAACAAACGGAGTTTTTTACATTTTTATTACATATGCACATAACAAAAAAATACTAAATTATCAGAAACACAAAAATAATAAATTATCAGTCGTCCTTGTCATCAGAGCAAACCAGGTCAGAATTGAAGTCTGATTATTTCCCCAAATTTATTATTAAGGGCGCTATGTCTTCGAAATCTAATAACGGCTAGTTGCCAACAAGCCTTATATCATCGTTTGCACAATCCAGGGATTGAATCTTATAAACATAATGTATAATATTATTTATAATAATTTGCAACAAACGATGCTTCCGGACGAAATGTCACAATTACAAAAATACGTCAAATATAAAATGACAGCGACCCATCAATAATATTGAACGGTGCGCGCCAGCCTTAAGCTATTACCAACTGGCACACACAAAAATTACTAAGTGAATGGTTTTATTTTGATAATTTCGTGAAAAAAACGTTTTAAAACAAGGAAATTGTTACAGTTCTTGGTAAACAATACGCAAATGAATGATTTCTTTTTAATAACACATCAGAATTACGCCTTAAAAAAGCAAATTTAACGGCAGTAACTTTACAATTCAGTTGGTAATGCTGACGTCATTATATCTCATTGATGACGTGCACCCATATAGATTTGGCCGTGACTATAGTTAATTTTTCTGTCTTTGAAAATGGCATTCATTTGGTTTGAAAAAAATAAGCAATAATGAAGAAACTTTTTCTTCTTTTAATTTGCAAGTTACAAATCATTATAATTATTATTAAGCCACTACAAGTTTTAACGTCCAGTGGCTTTAACAAAATACCCATTCACCATTGGAGTCCAATGATTAGACAACATTCACTTGTGTTCACATAAAATTTTAATTTCTTTTATATACATATATTCTTTTCAAAGCGAAGATTATTATCCGCTAGGTAGGAATACTTTGTCTCTCCTAGGCCGTAGTCACCTATATTTTACTACTTTTTTATGATTTTACTCATCTACGCACCACCAAAGCCAAATTAATTGCATTTTGAACTACGAATTTTGACAACTCATCTTGACTTTTGTATTGAAAAAAATATATATATATTTTTATAAAAATATTGTTATTTTAGGTCTGGCAGAGCACTCTATTCGTGGAGAATGCGTGACAGAGCCACCTTGCCCAAGTCAGTGCAAATGCGCAGATGGGTTGGTAGACTGTCGAGAAAAAGGTCTAACAAAAGTACCGGAGCAGTTACCTGAAGGAACTGTGGAACTGTACGTACTAATTTTTGTGTTAATATCGAAATTTCAATGAAATTATAATTTTTTTTAGACGTCTAGAACAAAACGAAATTACAGAGATTCCATCCAAAGCCTTTGCCAATAACAAACGATTACGACGAATGTAAGTTCTTGATTCTTAACCTTTTTTTGATAATTTTTTATTTTATTTTAGTGACTTAAGCAACAATAAGATTTCGAAAATTTCGTCCGATGCCTTTTTAGGACTCAAGGCTCTTACTTCCCTGTAAGTATTTTTTAAATCAGTTTAAGTTACATAATTCTGATTTTCTTTATAATTTGTAGAGTTTTATATGGAAATAAAATCAAAGATCTACCTGCTGGAATATTCCATGAACTCAGCTCTCTACAACTCTTGTAAGTTCATTGTAAAACTAAATTTGAAACATTTTTAATGATTTTGTTTTTTTAGATTATTAAATGCCAACGATATATCCTGCATACGAAAGGACACATTTAAGGACCTCGCAAATCTATCCCTTCTGTAATTATTTCATAAAATCCTATAAAACTATGTTTTTTCAGGACTTTTTTGTGCCTGGAAAAAATATGTTTTACTTTGAAAACAAACAATTTCTAATTTTATTTGTTTTTAGGTCTTTGTACGATAATAATATCCAATCCTTGGCAAATGGCAGTTTTGACTCTCTGCAAAGCATTCAAACTCTGTAAGTAAAACAATTTTTTATTTGTGAAAATTTTAAGTCACATTTTGTAATAATGTTTTTATTAATTAATAGTCATATGTCGCATTTTCTTTATAGTGACACTTATAAAAAGTTGACATTTTAATTGTCTCATTTTTTAAAAACTTTTATAGTCACATTTTATGTGAATTTTTTTCTTTAATTTTAATTGTCACATTTTAAAGTATTATTTTTTTAAAAGACATTCTTTATAGTCACACTTTATTAAGTCAAATTTCGTGTCAGTCATATTTAGTTTATAAACACACTTTTTAAAAGTCACAACAGTCACACTTTTTTAAAAGTCACTTTATTTTATTTCAATAGTCACATTTGGTAATAAAAAAATTTCTTTTATTTTGCAGTCACATTTTATGTCAGTCACATTTTTACAGTCACACTTTTTTAATGCCCACTTTATTTTATTTTAATAGTCGCTTTTGAATAGTCACATTTTGTTATAAGAATGTTTGTCTTCATTTTGATAGTCCATTTTTATGCCAGTTACTTTTTATTTATCACATTTTTTAAGATACACTTTTTTTGTCTAATAGTCACACTTTTTAATCCAAAGTCACATTTTGAAATAATATTTTTTTCTTTATTTTTAAGTCACGTATTATGTCTGTCGCACTTTTATTTTTAATAGTCACACTTAGTTACACTTTTCAGTCACATTTGGTCCCACTTTTTTAATTGTCACATTTTTAAGTATCAATTTATTAAGTTAAATTGTTTTCAGTCACATTTAGTTCATGATTACACCTTACACCAAGAAACATTTTTATACAGTCATTTTTTTTAATAGTCACTTTATTTTATTTCAATAGTCACACTTTTGTAATAATTTTTGTCTTCATTTTTACTGTCACATTTTATGTTAGTTACTTAAATTTAAAATAGTCACATTTTTTACAGTCGCACTTTTTAATTGCCATATTTTAAGTAAAAATGTTTAATCCACTTTTATATTCACACTTTTTAGAATAGTCACACTTTTTAACTGTCACATTTTTAAGTTAAATTTTTAAATAAACACTTTTTTATAGTCACACTTTATTAAGTAAAATTTTTATCAGTCACATATAGTTTATAATCACACTGTTTAAAAGTAACATTTTTTAACAGTCGCACTTTTTTATTTTAATAGTCACACTTTTTAGTAGTCGCATTTTGTAATAATTTTTTTCTTTATGTTTATAATCACATTTTATGGCAGTTACTTTATTATAAATAGTCACATTTTTTACAGTCACACTTTTTAATTGTCACATTTAGTCACACATTTTTAATTGTCTTATTTTTAAGTAAAATATTTAAATAAACACTTTTTTATAGTCACACTTTATTAAGTCATATTTTTGTCAGTCACATTTAGTTTATAATCACACTTTTTAAAAGTAACACTTTTTAACAGTCACATTTCTCTTTCAGTCACCTGGCAAGAAACCCATTCATCTGCGATTGCAACCTGAAATGGCTCGCAGAATATTTGCACAAAAATCCTATAGAAACATCAGGGGCAAGATGTGACACCCCGAAACGCATGCAGAAAAGAAGATTGGAAGCTTTGAAAGATGAAAAGTTCAAATGTAAGGGTAAGCACCTTCCACTTGATTTAATCATCAGTGGTAATGGTGTTCATATAACATACATTTTGCATTGTTAAAAAGTCATTATTTTCATATAATTTCATTATCATTTTATTAAAATCACATTTCACTTATTTCAACATAATATATTATATTAATTTCTTTTTTAATATTTAATTTTGTGTAAAATCCATGGTTATCCATTATTTTAGGCCAAGAAGAATTTAGAACAAGGTATGCTGGCGAATGTCTTATTGATAATGCATGCCCAGTGGGTTGTTCATGTGATGGTACCATTGTGGACTGTTCTGGAAGAAGTCTAAAAGAAATACCAAGGGATATTCCACTATACACCACAGAACTGTAAGTAAATCAAACCTGGAAGGTTTTATTCCTTTATTTTTAAATTGTTTTTCTAATTAATTATTTACTTTTTGCTAGATTGTTACATGACAACGAATTGGGTCGTATAAAGTCCGATGGATTATTTGGGAGATTACCAAATTTGATAAAACTGGACTTGAGAAGAAATCAAATAACTGGTATTGAAGAAAATTCCTTTGAAGGTGCCACACAAATTATAGAACTGTAAGATTTTTTTCTTCATTTTTATAGTCACATTTTTTACATTCACATTTTATAATCCAAAGTCACATCTTGTAATAATATTTTTTTCTTTATTTTTAAGTCACATATTATGTCTGTCGCACTTTTAATTTTAATAGTAACATTTGGTTACAATTTTCAGTCTCATTTAGTCCCACTTTTTTCATTGTTACATTTTTATGTAACATTTTTAAATATACACTTTTTATAGTTACAATTTATTAAGTTAAATTTTTGTCAGTTCATTTAGTTCATAATTACAATTTTTATATGTAAAATTTTTAATAATCACCATATTATATTTCAATAGTCACACTTTTTATTTTTATTTTTGTCACATTATATGTCAGTTAATTTTATTTTATTATTTCTAAATTGTCACATTTTGAAGTAAAAATGTTGTATACACTTTTTAGTCACACTTTTAAGAACAGTCAATCTTTTTATTCTTGTTTAATAGTCATACTTTTTAATCCAAAGTCACATTTTGTATTAATGTTTTTTTCATTATTTTTAATGTTATGCCTGTCGCACTTTAATTTTTAATAGTCACATTAAGTTAAACTTTTCAGTCACATTTAGTCCTACTTTTTTATTTGTCACATTTTCAAGTAACATTTTTAAATAGACACTTTTTTATAGTCACACTTTATTAAATTAAATTTTTGTCAGTCACATTTAGTTCATAAAAACAATTTTTATATGTAACATTTTTAAACAGTCACTATTTTTTAAGAGTGTCACCATATTTTTAGTATTCACATTTTTTAATTTCTTTATTTTTATAGTCACATTTTTTACGTTTACACTTTTTAATTGTCACATTTTTATGAAAAAATGTTTAATTTAGAACAGTCAAACTTTTTATTATTGTCCAATAGTCACACTTTTTAGTCACATTTAGTCCCACTTTTTTAATTGTCACATTTTTAAATAGACTTTTTTATGGTCTCACTTTATTAAGTTAACTTTTTGTCAGTCACATTTAGTTCATAAAAACAATATTTATAAGTAAAATTTTAATAGTCCCCATATTTTATTTCAATAGTCACAGTTTTTAGTACTCACATTTTGTAATAATTTTTTTTCTTAATTTTTATAGACACAGTTACTTTTATTATAAATTGTTACATTTTTTACAGTCACATTTTTTAATTGTCACATTTTTAAGTAAAAAATGTTGAATACACTTTTATAGTCACACTATTTAGTCGCATTTAGTCACAATTTTTTAATTGTCACATTTAAGTAAAATTTGTAAATAAACACTTTTATAGTCACACTTTATTAAGTAACATTTTTTAATGCCACACAAATTATAGAACTCTATGATTTTAAATCATATTAAATAATACATTTTATTTACTAATATTAATTTATTTTTTAGCAATCTTTCTGAAAACAAACTTTACGAAATTCACAACAAAATGTTTTTGGGGCTACATAATTTGAAATCTTTATCCTTGAATAATAATGGAATTACATGTATAATGCCTGGATCCTTCGATCATTTAACGTCTCTTTCCACTCTGTAAGTCCACAATTTAAATAATTTTTTTCGTGGTCAAAATTTACAATTTTTTTTTAGAAATCTCATACACAATCCGTTTGTCTGCAACTGTCACTTGGCCTGGTTCTCTGATTGGCTTAAAAACAAAGGACTAAGCGGTTCTTCCCCCAGATGTTCAGGCCCTGCAAGAGTAAAAGACGTGTTGATAAGGGAACTGCCGAAAAACGAGTTCAAATGTTTGAGTAAGTTGAAAAATATAACATTTAAGGTAAAAAAATAACATCACCATTTTAGGTGATAACGATCAAGGTTGCTTGGGTGAAAACTACTGTCCGCCGATGTGCGCATGCACCGGCACTGTTGTCAGATGTTCGCGCGCCAACTTGACCGAAATACCGCGGGGAATTCCCCCGGAAACGTCGGAGTTGTACTTGGATTTTAACAGTATTTTTAGGATACAAGCTGACAGAATCAGTCACTTAAAATCACTGACGAGACTGTAAGTTTTATTTATAGACCAGGGTCGATAATTTTTGAAACCAAAAAAAATAACAGTAGGATGAAACCCATTGGAAAAGGAGAAGAATATAATAAAAATGAAAGGAAAAATAAATTACGGGTGATCTGACTTCGGGAAGTGGGAGGGGGGGTTTTAAGGGTAAAAAATGGTTTATCTCGATTTTCGGCAAAACTACAAGTCCTATAGAAAAAAGTTAAATGGCAAAGTTGTAGGTAATAAAATGATCTACAACTTTTGTAATTACAATTTTTTTACATAACCTCAAAATTTATGTGAAAAATTCAAAAAACCAAGTTTTTGGTTTTTTATTTTTATCTTTTTCAAAAAAAAAAATTTCCACGAAATTTGGTGAAAACTTACCTTTTTATGTCCCAAATACACTGTAATTTATTTGATTTGAAATATTTATTATTTCGCCTTATTTTGACTTAATATCAAAAAAGCACCCTAATTTTCAATCGAAAATTCTCGCGTCAAAATATCAGCTTTTTTCAAAAAGTCGGTGTGCTTTTTGTTCGTTGAAATCTCTACTTTCTGATGGTGTAAAAAAATATACATTACTATGGTAAATGTTCTCAGAAAATGCAAAAAATATTATAATGAATAACGAAAAAAACTCGGATTCGAAAATTTATTTTATTCATTATGTACAATTTCATCAAAAAAATGTGATTGTTGCAATTTTTTTTAGTTAAAAAGTTTATTTATTAAATTCTTATAACATTTATGTCAGAAAATCTCATAAAATATAAAAATACATGTAAATCATAATATTGAATTTGGATACTTCATTCTGATTACGTTATTCATTATAATATTTTTTGTATTTTCTGAGAACATTTACCATAGTAATGTTTTTTTTTACACCATCAGAAAGTAGAGAGTTCATCGAACAAAAAGCACACCGACTTTTTGAAAAAAGCTGATATTTTCGATTGAAAATTAGGGTGCTTTTTTGATATTAAGTCAAAATAAGGCGAAATAATAAATATTTCAAATCAAATAAATTACAGTGTATTTGGGACATAAAAAGGTAAGTTTTCATCAAATTTCGTGGAAAAAAATTTTTTTTTTAAAAAGAAAAATAAAAAACCAAAAACTTGGTTTTTTGAATTTTTCACATAAATTTTGAGGTTATGTGAAAAAATTGTAAATACAAAAGTTGTAGATCTTTTTATTACCTACAACTTTGACATTTAACTTTTTTCCATAGGACTTGCAGTTTTGCCGGAAATCGAGATAAACCATTTTTTACCCTTAAACCCCCCCCTCCCACTTCCCGAACTCAGATCGCCCGTAATTTATTTTTCCTTTAATTTTTATTATATTCCCCTTTCCAATGGGTTTCATTCTACTGTTATTTTTTTTCTCTTTTTACCATTTTTAAAGGCTTCTGCACTGGTCTATTACTAATATGTTGTATTATAATATTAATTATTTTTTGTAGGGATTTGAGTAATAATAATATTGGTATGCTGTCCAATAGCGCGTTTGCAAATTTGTCCAAACTCAGTACTTTGATTATAAGTTACAATAGGCTGCAATGTGTGCAAGTTAACTCTTTGACGGGATTAAATGCTCTTAGAATATTGTAAGTGTATAAAAATATAATAAAAATATTTTTTAACATTTTTTATTTTTAGGTCTTTACACGGCAATCAAATTTCAATGATTCCTGAAGGGACATTTGCCAACTTAAAATCGATCAGTCATATGTAAGCTTTAATGATTTTTTTGCAAGTAAAATTTTTAATTAATTTTTGATTTTTTAGTGCTTTAGGTGCGAATCCTTTGTACTGCGATTGTTCGCTAAGGTGGCTCTCTGATTGGGTCAAAGTCGACTATGTTGAACCGGGTATTGCTCACTGTGCAGAGCCTGCTAATATGAAAGATAAATCGATTTTGTCGACGCCATCTAACGCTTTTCAATGCAGAGGTAAGTTATACTACTACTACTACTTATAAACAGTTATCAGACACTTTATAGTTATTGGACAATTAACATTAATACTGTAAAAACAAGGGTTAAATAGTTAAAATAAAATACCTTAAAATCAAATCATTAGATGACGCTGTATACAATTATAACTATCTCAGTCGGTAATAATATAAAACTACTTTATGTTGGGTTCAATAGGACAACAAAGTTCGCACGTTACTTTGGTAGTAAGATTTTTGTTCTTTTGTTAAGAGTAGGGCTGGGTTTAAATTACAATAAAAAATATTTCTAAAAAGTGTACAGATAAGTGTGTGCCACACACTGTGTGGTATAAATTTATATGTTCCTCATGGTTTAAACATTGTCACTTTAATGCGTTTTAATTTTAATTCTGAAAACAAACAGTAAAATGGCCGGTGTCCAATTACTGGTTGGTAAAAAATGTAAATTTCTATTATTGGACATATGTCCCGGACATTTACCAGCCAATTCTTGTGTAAAATTGTCCCCTGAATACGAAAAGACCGTCAAAATTCCATATTATATGTAAAATTGATTATATTTCAAAAACTTTTTTTTTATTGAAAAGTAATATCCAAATAGCCGAAATGGGCTTTGACAGATATGTAATTTACAAATAAATTTAAAATTAACATTTAGCAATAAATAATTAAATTATACATGGGTCATTTATAAATTATTTGAAGTTGGCTATGTACACTAATCCTTGTCCTTGGTCGAATAAATTAAATCTTTATAAATAATTAATTAACAAGTATCTACCTATGTACACTAGTTTTGTTGTCTTTGGTCCACTAAATATTGCTTGACACTCTTAACAAACTCTATTTCATTTTGCTGTTTGATCTCGTTTGGTAATTTTTTGTATATTTTGATGCCTTCTCTAAGTATTCGTTTTTCGCCTATTTTGGTTTTATGTGTCACAAAATTTAGTTCTTGATTTCCTCTGGTGCTGTATTGATGTACGACGGCTCTTGTTGTTATTTCTATATCTTCGTCTTGGATTTGTTTGTTTAACATTTTCCTTACCAATTTTATGGTCTCCAGCTTTCTAAGTTCTTCTATTCTTAAGGTTTTTGTTTTACGGTATACTTCAGTTGTTGCAGTATGCCTTGGTAGTCTGTGCAAAGCTTTTAATAGTTTATTTTGGCTTCTTTGCAATTTGTCTAATTCTTTTTTGTTTCCTGTTGCCCAGAATGATATTAGGTAAGTCAGCTTGCTTTTAATATAGGCTTTATATATCAGTTTCCTTTCCTTTTCCTGCAGTACATCAGCTACCTTATGCGCTAGTCCATTATAATATGCCATTTTTTTGTTTTGAGCTCTTATGTGTGATGTCCACTTTAAATTTTTGTCAAGAATAAAACGTAAGTATTTAATTTTTGTTTCTTCGCTAATAGCATCATTTCCGATTTTTATATTTAGGTTATGGTTTTTAATTTTGTTTTCAAAATGTATCAGATAACATTTTTTGCTGTTTATCGTTAACTTGTTTGTGTTTGTCCATTTAAGTAGTTTGTTAATGTCATATTTACATAGAAAAACGCAGTATCATCCGCATATATCATTATCTTACCAGAAAAATTGTACAGATCCAGGTCATTTATATATAATAAGTATAGGTAAGGACCCAAAATGGATCCTTGGGGTACCCCAAAATTTATATTTTCCCATTCACTGACTTCGCTTCCAACTTTTGTGTACTGCTTTCTATTTGTTATATAAGATCTGAACAGTTCAAACGCTTTCCCTGCCACTCCCATTTGTTTTAATTTTTTTATTAATATTGACGGTTCTACTGTGTCAAACGCCTTTTTAAAGTCTAATATAAGAGCAGTTACACATTTTCCTTCATCCATTTTAGTTTGTATGTTCTACTTTTATAAATTTTGACGACATTTTCGGATTCAGCGAATAAAATTTCATAGGAATTGACTGCTAAATGTCCTGGATACAAATTAGTGTCGACGAGAATTATTAGTGGCCGCTTTTTCGCTATGACATTTTTGACTAATTCATTTTTAGAGAGTAAGTAATATAGTGATTTCTTCGTCACAGGACATCTTGCAGAATAACAGTGATTTAAATACAGTAGAGAACATAAAAAACTAATGGCCACAAAATTAATAAATTCGGAAAATACTTTTAATATACCACCCGAAAAAATATTAGATAAATATAAATCATCCTGTTCCGGCCTAAACGTTATAAATGCTTTACAAACTAGAGATACCACACTTAATGATATTTGCAACAAACTATTTCAGAAGTCAGACCAAGGAATTAGTAGTTACCTTCAGAATCCAGAAATGGGATGAGGAATCCGAGAAAGAAATATATGAATTATATGATATTTAAAAAAATTAAATAAAAAAAATTACCTTTAAAAAATATTTAACAATTTATGTTATTTGATGGAAAGTTGTTATGTTTATATAAAAATTGTATGTCGAATTACTATATAAAATGTCTAATTACTATACTTTTTTGCATGTTTTTATAAAACTAATATTAAAAATTCAAATATTCTTATTTTTAAGTAAACGTAAATAAAGTTCAAACAAACAAATTATCCCTTTTATATATTTATAAGAAAAAAACTTTGGTTTATAAGTACGTCATGACTCATGATATACTTTTTGTTTAGAAAAAGTGAGCAATGAAATTTTGGCAAAGTGCGATGCCTGTTTTACCTTCCCTTGTAAGAACGAGGGAAAATGCGTTACGCAGCCAGAAAGGGACTACGAGTGTAAATGCGCTCCAGGATATCACGGAAAAAATTGCGAGTTCATGATCGACGCGTGCTATGGAAATCCTTGCAGGAATCAGGGCGCCTGCAAAGTCCTGGAAGAAGGAAGATTCAGGTAAATAAATAAATTCTTCAAATTTTTTTTTTATTACACAACATTCTTTTAAATTTTAGTTGTCAATGTCAACCTGGATATGACGGTCTAAGATGCGAGAATAACATCGACGATTGCCTCAAAAACAAATGCCAAAACAACGCCACCTGCGTAGATTTAGTGAACTCATATCAATGCAAATGCCCTGCTGGTTACATGGGTAAATATATTCTTCCTGCGCCATCTATATTTTAAAATTTAAAACACATTTTCTCTACAAAAATTAAACTAAACATTTGATATTTTCAGGTGAATACTGTGAAAAGAAAATCCCTTTTTGCACTGAACACTACAACCCGTGCAAAAACGATGCCACCTGTGTGGACCATGACACTTATTATACTTGTGAATGTTTGCAAGGTTTTAAGGGAGAAAATTGTTCTATAAACATTGACGATTGCGAAAATAATATGTGCCAGGTAAGATTTAATTTTTTTAACTATTTTTTTTTAATTTCAAGAGATGTTATTATTTTTTGTGATTTTTTTATTGTACTAATAATTTTGTGGTTTTTACTACTGATTTTTAAAATTCTATATATTTTGTGTGGGTTTTCCGGTATTTTTTAACTTTAAACATTCTGACGATTTTTAAGCTTTTTATATTTTTTTCTTCTAATTTTATGATTGTTACCCACTTTTAATGTTCTTGGTTTTCTATTCTTTTTAGATTATGTTATCTGTTTTTTTTATTTTGTTTTCCCATTAATTCTTATTATTCTTTATGATTTTAAGATTTATATGGATTTGCTGTTTTTCTAAAATTTTCTTGATTTTTAAGTTTTCTTTTCTTGACATTTTTCATTTTTTCAATTTCTTGTTTTTATAAAGGTGTGTCATTTAATTTTTTTTATTTTTTTGAATATTTTGGAAACGCGACGTTCAATTGTTTTTTGTTTTCACCATTTAATTCAGACTTTGTAGCTCCAATAATAACGAAGTTAGCAATGGTGAGCAAATAAATTTAGACACCCGGTATACTAATGTTTTTGACGATTTTTAAGGTTTTTTCCTTTTAATTTTATGATTTTTCTGTTTTTTCTTGATTTCGGTTTTAGTTTTTAGATTTACGTTATTTTTTTTGTTTTAGACAAATTAAATTTTATGTTTTTTCTTTTTAATTTTTAATACTTGAATTTGCTGTTTTTCTAAAAAAAATTCTTGTTTTTAACAGTTTTCTGAATTTCTTGATATTTTTCAATTTGATTTTTTCTAAACTAAACCAAAACAAAAAATCGTTGTAACTTTTTATTTTTTTTTCCAAATTTAAATACTTACCATTTTAATAGATTTGTTATTAGGCAATTGGTATTTTTTTCTTCTTTAGTTTTGTGAATTTATTTTTATTTCAATTTTTGTTGTATTTTTACAAATTAAAATTTTTGAGTTTTTTTTAATGTGTATTTAAAAAATTGGACATATTTTTTGGTTTGTTCATTTGTACCAACAGTTATACAAAACTTGTTTATAATATTTAATTATTTTTTCTTCTCCCTCCTTTAAAACGCCCATTATCGTACATGTTTCCATGACATTGACAACTTATTGCGCTTTAGTCACGGGCTGAAGTTAGCAACAGGTTTTTAGTCAGGGGCAGAAGTTAGTTTTAAGTTAGTTGACATGTGTCAAATGTCATAAAATCGTTAAAATAAAGTGCCTTTCTTGTAAAATAATACTAAATGTGAAAATTATTATATCAATACAAAAATACAAAAGTATTAAATATTTTCTTGACGCCAAGACCTTTTGATTTCGCCGTAGTAGTGCAGTTAACTAGATTTAACTGATAAAGCATTAACAATTTTGCGTACAGTGCCTATAAAACAGGGAAATTCCAATAAATACAACTGTCACTTTTTGCACCTTTAACATTTTCCGTGTAAGAATTTTTAATTCTTTGTAATATTTTGTAATTATAGTAATAAAAAAAAATCAAAGGATTGGGATTATTGGGATGGTTACTTTATTTTCGTAAAGATGTCGCTTTATACAAATATCTAATTTAAATCCTTTTTAGATAATATTAAGTATTTGTCGTAGAAAAAGTTTAGTATGCAACTCGTTTATTAACTTTTCTAGGCACAATAGACTGGGCCAAAAAAATCGACTATTTTAGTATATCGAAAATATTGTTTGGGGTGACAAAAAAAATTATGGTGAAAGTTTTTTTTTCCTGAGCGAGTTTTTGTCTCAGAACTCCCAAATCATTGAGTTTAACAAAATTGACTTAAGAATATTTTTTGAAGAAAATTGAATGCTCTACAAAAAAGGTTTTATTTGAATTTCCCGTTAGATGAACCGTTTTCTTACAATCATGCCTTAAAAATCGGTATAGTTTTACAATTTGATCTTTTAACTTTGGAATTTTGTAATTCAAGTAAAAATCAGTACCCTAAAAAAAACGATAAATTTTCTTATGGGAAATCAAATGCTCTACAAAAAAAGTCTTTTATCATTTTTGGCTAAATTCACTATTCAAGGTTAAATTTGAAGTCAAAACGAAATTTTAACCTAATTTTTGATTGAGTGAATTTAGCCAAAAATGTTAAGAGGCTTTTTTTGTAAAGCATTTGATTTCCCATAAGAATATTTATCGGTTTTATATGGGTACTGATTTTTACATGAATTACAAAATTCCAATTTAAAAGATCAAAATGTAAAACTATACCAATTTTTAAGGCATGATTTTAAGGAAACGGTTCATCTGACGGAAAATTTCACTTTAACCTTTTTTGTAGATCATTTAATTTTCTTAAAAAAATATTTTCAAGTCAATTTTGTTAAACTTAATGGTTTGGGAGTTCTGAGCCTAAAACTTGCTGAGGAAAAAAAAATTAAAATTGCGATGATAGACCTCTTAATATTAATATTATGGACTCAAACTTTCACAATAATTTTTTTTGTCACCCCAAACCATATTTTCAATATACTTTTCAAAAACAAAAATAGCTGATTTTTTTGGCCCAGTTTAAGGCACATGTGCCTAAATTAAATTCGTGACTAAAATGGCGTTTATCAAACTTGATACATAATATGTTAGTTTTAATTTTTTAGAATTGCCGCCATTTTATACGCTTTTCCTAAACTCTTTAAGATATTTCCATAATTATTTTTATACTTTTTGAAATTACAAAAAATCTCACACATCTTTTCCCATCAGAACGGCGCTTCTTGCGTGGACGGCGTCAACGACTACGTCTGCAAATGCGCTGGCGACTTCATAGGAAAATTCTGCGAAATCACGCCCATCGTGGCCATGATGTACCCCCAAACGTCCCCATGCCAACACCACGACTGCGTGCACGGCGTCTGCTTCCAACCTTCGGGATCCAACGACTACCTGTGCAAATGCGCCCCCGGATATTCGGGAAAGCGTTGCGAATACTTGACGAGTCTGAGTTTCGTCCACAACACCTCCTACGTGGAGCTGGAACCTCTGAGGACCAAGCCGGAGGCCAACGTTACCATCGTTTTCGCTACCACGCAAGAAAACGGTGTTTTGATGTACGATGGCCATCAGGAGCACTTGGCAGTCGAGCTTTTTAACGGAAGGATCAGGGTCAGCTATGACGTCGGGAATTATCCTGTTTCTACAATGTATAGGTAAGAATTTTACCTTATAGTTTTTTACAGCTTCTCTAAAATGGACAGAAACAAAAATGTTTCGATCGTTACATTTTTTAATTTTTTTTCTAAAAAGACAAAACAATTTTTTTACATTATATTTTTTCGTTTGAAGTCAATAATATAAACAACTTTCAGCAAAAGTCCCGAGTTGGCTAAACTCATCGTTGTGGAATTATTATTTTTTTAATCAAAATGCCATTTTCTGATAAATTCGTGGTTCATTGCAAAAATTTGGTATTTTATCCAGTGTCTTAAAAATGCGGTGGCCTTTATAAAGTGTAGAACTTTTTACATATTTAACATACTTTTGTCACTTCCGGTTTTACCGGAAATGGTTTAACTTTTTATTTTTTAATGAAACACCCTATGCATACATACACTCACAGGCAAAATAATCGATCCACACAAATTTTCGATGAATTTCAATCGCAAATAACTTTTTTATTTGATGTCGGATTTAAACGAAAATTAAAGAATATAGTAGATAAATTAATGGACAATCGTTCACATTTTAAAAAAATACTAAAAAATAGACGTACGTTTATAATATACAGGTTTAAACAAAAAGATGTTTTTTACCATAAGTTTAAGACACTCTGTAGAGTGACAAAACCGTATATTGTTCTAAATTATATTAATTTATTTATCAAGTCACATCTATTCTTAACAGTTTCGTTTTTGGTTCACCTCGATATATTTATTTTTGTGGAAAATATGGATTTTTAAAAAAAACATTGCAATTTCCAATATTTTTCTGTATGAAGAACTATAGTTCCTTATCCAACCTTATAAGGTTGCTATGGTCCATCCATAGGCTATGGAGAATGACAGTGATAGACTATCACTGATAGTTTTGTTGAATCATCCCATACTTGGACATGTCATACACGGCTTTCAAAAGCTATCAAATTGTTTTTTGCAAATTAATGTTGCCAGAGCCATTAATTTAATCCAGGATGGACGGTCACAGTATTACGTGGCAAGTGTTTTAAACGTCACAAGAAGTAAAGTACAAAGGGCAACATCAGTCGGAGACATTTTTAAAAGTAAGAAGACACCTCAAAATTAACACATTAATTTACAAAAAAACAATTTGATAGCTTTTGAAAGATGTATATGACATGTCCAAGTATGGGATGATTCAACAAAACTGTCACTGTCATCCTACATAGGCTATGGATGGACCATAGCAACCTTAATTCTTCATACAGGAAAATATTGTAACTTGCAATGTTTTTTTTTAAAAATCCATATTTTCCACAAAAATAAATATATCCAGGTGAACCAAAAACAAAACTGTTAAAAATAGATGTGACTTGATAATTAAAACTTAATTTAGAACAATATACGGTTTTGCCACTCTACAGAGTGTCTTAAACTTATGGTAAAAAACATCTTTTTGTTTAAACCTGTATATTATAAACGTACGTGTATTTTTTAGTAATTTTTAAAATGTGAGCGATTCTCCATTAATGTATCTACAATATTCTTTAATATTTGTTTAAATCCGAAATCAAATAAAAAAGTTATTTGCGATTGAAATTCTTTGAAAATTTATGTGGATCGATTATTTTGCCTGTGAGTGTATTTCGATTCAAAATAAAATTCTCCCACTCAAAATCTTGTTGAAAATGTTTAAAAAAATTCCCTGAAAATTATCAACTCTTCCAAAGCGTATAAAGATTTCCCATTTAAAATACACGTAAACTTTGATTTTTTTGTTTAAATATCTATATTTTAGCCGCATTTGATGCTATTGGATTGTTCCAAAAAGGGATTTACTCGTAATTCAAAGTTCTACAAAAATGCTTTATGTGCCATAGCTGTAATCTGCACATGTAGAATGGTAAGGGTCAGTAAATCTGATTTAAGTGAAAAATTCTCATATTCTTGAAGATGTTTTAAAAGGGACTGGGTTCATCAATAAAATGTAGATAATTTAATTTTCTTTAAAAAAGGTTTTATCAGTTGAATCGCTAAGATTGATATTTGTTGAGATATAAACGTGTACATCGACATTTTATGAATTTTTTTAGGATTTTCTTACCAAACTTTTTATGAATAATGATTTTCAATTGTTTATCAGTATAATTTCATATAATTACGTTTAGAGAAAAATAAATAACTAAAACAATCAAGCATAATTATTGGTTGTTTATATTATTAACTTCAACCCAAGAAAAATCTAACAATGTCAAAATTTTTACCTTAATTTTGATTTGCCATTTTTAGAAAAAACAATTAAAAAAATAGTGAATTCACTTAATTTTTTATCAGTATTTTGTTTTGTATGTAGTAAACATTTACCTTCAATTAAAAAACGATTGATTTGAGAATGACTTAATTACAAAATTATTTCTTATTCTTTAGCTTTGAGATGGTGGCTGACGGTCAGTACCACATAGCAGAGTTGATTGCTATCAAAAAGAACTTCACTCTTAGAGTTGATAGAGGTTTGGCGCGCTCCATTATCAACGATGGTAGCAAAGATTTCCTCAGATTGGGTACTCCAATGTACCTTGGAGGTATCCCGGCTGAACCTGGGCAACAGGCGTTTTCCCAATGGCATCTGAGGAACCTCACCAGCTTCCACGGTAAGAAATATTCATTTAAACGTCTTTATTGAGAAAATAAATATATATATAGGACCTATATATTATAGGTATACCTACAATCTCAAATGGCGAAATTTGACTTGTGACATTTACTTTTACCATTCATTCTTACATTTAACCATGAAATGCCAGCTTAACTGGCTATAAATATACATTAGAAACAAAATAAATATGTATTTAATATTGCAACAAAAATAATAAAAAAAATACGAAGCAATCATATATATTAGGGTGTTTCATTTAAAACGAAAAATTCTTTTTTCTTGCTGACACATGAAAATTTTGTTTTTTAGGTTGAAAAAAAAATTCCCTGAAAATTTTAGCCCTTAAATTTGATTCCTTTTTAATTTTGTAGTTTTTCCATATAAAAAGCATGTATTTTTAATCATTTTTACTTTAAATTTCTATATTTTGGCCGGGTTTTGAATTATAATTTTTATCACCATAATTTCCTGCATAGTATTCATGGTTTTTAAAAGGCCCTGCATCAATTTTGTTTTTGATTTATTTACGTTGATTGTAGGTCGTTTTTACACTTTTTCTCACATATTTTTGAGAAAATCGAGCGAATGACTGGTTTTACCGAAAAAGTTCAAATGAAAAAGTTGTAGGAAATTTAATTTTTGACAAAAAAGGTTCTCACGTTCATATCACTAAAGTGCTTTGTTTAAGAGATATAAGCAATTCAATAACCAAAAACAAAGAAAAAATAGGTTTTATTGAAATTTATGTATAATACAATATACATACATTTATACCTTATATCTCTTAAACAAAGCACTTTAGTGATATGAACGTGAGAACTTTTTTTGTCAAAAATTAAATTTCCTACAACTTTTTCATTTGAACTTTTTCGGTAAAACAAGTCATTCGCTCGATTTTCTCAAAAATATGTGAGAAAAAGTGAAAAAAACGACTTTTGGAGCTACTACAATCAACGTAAATAAATCAAAAACAAAATTGATGCAGGGCCTTTCAAAAACCGTGAATACTATGCAGGAAATTATGGTGATAAAAATTATAATTCAAAACCCGGCCAAAATATAGAAATTTAAAGTAAAAATGATTAAAAATACATGCTTTTTATATGGAAAAACTACAAAATTAAAAAGGAAGTACTTAGAATCAAATTTAAGGGCAAAAATTTTCAGGGAATTTTTTTTTCAACCTAGAAAACAAAATTTTCATGTGTCAGCAAGAAAAAAGAATTTTTCGTTTTAAATGAAACACTCATTATTAAAAATAGGTACATAAAAAGTATTTTTAAATAGTATAATTTCAACACAATATAAAAAATAGTTAATTTCATTTCAGGCTTTAAAAACTTTCCTTTTAAATATTTTTGTCACCGCTAGATTCTAGTTTTCCAAATGATATTGAGTAATTTAAGAAACGTCTCTGTTAGAGAGAGTTTTTAAATTTAATTTGACTTTATTTAAATGCGGTCTTCAGTTGGCGTCAGATAATTGTCGAGAATTGGTTGCGATCAACAAACGACAAGCGAAATATAATCACGAAATAATATCCCAATAACATCACTCGCCACAGTGGATCAGTTAAGACCCTACTGAAGACAATTGTAACCAAATCGTAGCTCCTTTATATATACATACTTTACTTTAGTAGCGGCGTGATCATAGACGGCAGCGCCATCTAGATAGAAAAAGTTCAAATAATTAAATCTCATGAACTTTTATTGTAGATTACCATAATTTACTTTTTCGTAGTTTAGTCACAGACCAAAACACGTGGTCTGATATAAAATGGAAAAATGTTTAAATTATTATTTATTATTTCATGTAATCTAAAATTTCTTTACTATTAAAGTAATATTTATTTACTTAATTAATTTTCGAAGTTTTAAATTGATTTTAAATATTTTTTTGCAAAATTTTGATAAAAATTTATATGTTAATAAAGCATATGAACATAGAGATCTATAGATCATATATGATAGATGCATCAATTTTTAACTTCTAAACCAGAATATTTTTTGATTGTAACAAGTTGAAATACCTACTCTCTAAGTTAGAGACTCTAACCATGGTGATTTTGGACCACTTTCCATAATGTTTATGCATAAATAACCAATAAATTACAATAAATAAAAATAGTTATGCCAGGAAAATGATTTGCATTCCAGAAGAATGATTAATGCATTTCTAGCTGAAGATGTTACTATAGTGTATAGTATTTTTGTTTTAAATATAAAAAAGTTTTACCGACATTTTTGTTTGTGTTTATTTGTTATTTGTTTTCAGTGTTCTTTGAAAAAAAATAGTCGTTTTTTTAGACACTTTAAGGTAGGTAACACACGGTGTCCCTGAATAACTTAATTGAAAGGTTAAGACGTACCCGATTTTTTTTCATATTTTAATAAAAAATCACTTACAAGACAATTTTTTTTCAGGATAAACTTAATTCGCTTGGCACTTTTTAGAAAAATCAATTTTTATAAAAACATTCATCATTTTTAATCAATTTTTAATTAGTGAACTCGAAATAATGACTAACAGCTTTGAAGGTATTTGTTACATAAAATGGGCAATTCATTAGACTAGTGAACTATTGACATATGTCACTTGTCACATGTCACATACATACCTACAAAATATCTTTGCGATATTTTACCGTTTTTTTTCAATTTGTTGCAGATTTATTTCTAAATTATATATAAATAATTATATTAGCATTGATTATAGTATATACTGCCGTGTTAAGCTTAAAGGTCGTATCTGCAATATTTTGTAGTAAAGGACAGAAGAAAATTTTAATAGACCTATCCCATAAAACAGACTTTTGGATAGCGCGTGCATGAAGAAGAGTGGTATCTCTTTCTCTTTTATAATTAAAAAAAGGACGAGGTGCCTTTTCACGCACGCGCTATCCAAAAGTCCGTTTTATGGAATAGGTCTATTTTAAAAAACGATAAAAAATGGCTTTTTTGCTTAACTACTAAATATTGCAGATATGAAGTTTTGTCTTCGTACGGCAGTTTGTGGTAATAAAGAAAAAACTTTATTCTTTATTGTTTTTAAAAATTAAAATTTTCTTCTGTCCTTTACTACAAAATATTGCAGATACGACCAGTATAGTGCAATGAAGCTAATAAAAAACCATGCTTGGACTCACTCTGATAATCGCGAGAGAATTTGTTTGTTTTGTCTTAAAAAAAAAGAAAAAATATCTAAAATATGTGGAAAGATTCTGGAAAAAGTTCAAAGCCTATTAGTATATGATGTAGAAGATGAACAATTATCAAAAGTTGTATGCAAAGGTTATGAAATTTTATTATAAAGCAGCTAAACAAGAAATTTATAGAAACACGTTAAATTTGCCTGATTTTTCTAATTGGAAATAATTGGGTATAATTTTATAAAAAGTGCTAAAAATAAACTCATTAAAAAAGAATAACACACGCTTTTTTTCTGAATCTTTCCACATATTTTAGATTTTTTTTTTAAGACAAAACAAACAAATTCTCTCGCGATTATCCGAGTGAGTTGCACTATATACTATAATCAATGCAAATATAATTATTTATATCTAATTTAAAAATAAATCTGCGACAAATTGAAAAAAAAAACGGTAAAATATCGCAACGGTATTTTCAATCATGATTTCGACATGTGACAAGTGACATATGTCAATAGTTCACTAGTCTAATGAATTGCACATTTTATGTAACAAATACATTAAAAGCTAAAAGTCATTATTTGGAGTTCACTAATTAAAAATCTCAAAAAATTTATTAAAAATCATTAATGTTTTTATAAAAATTGATTTTTGTAAAAAAGTGTCAAGCGAATTGAGTTTATCCTGAAAGAAAAATTGTCTTGTAAGTGATTTTTTATCAAAATATGAAAAAAAATCGGATACGTCTGAACTTTTCAATTAAAAGTTATTCAGGGACACCCTGAACATCAAATAAAATATAAATAATGCCGTGGTCATATTTAAAAGAAAACAAAGCTATTCATAGTAACTACATAACTATAGTTAGTGTATACCCTTACATTTAGGTAACAAATAAACACAAACAAAAATGTCGGTAAAACTTTTTTTATATTTAAAACAAAAATAAACTATTTATAGTAACATCTTCAGCTAGAAAATTTAATGCATTATTCATTCTTCTGAAATGCAAATCACTCTCCTGGCATAACTATTTTTATTTATTGTAATTTCAATTAAAATAAAATTATATAAACAAAAAATAGTATATTTTATTAACAAAGGCAGAATAAACTTATTCTTTTGAAATTCGCCAACTTGTCGTCGCATCTTTCGATTACAATCTCGCTTCCCGCAGGCTGCATGAAAGAGGTGTGGATCAACCACAAGCAGGTGGACTTCGGCAACGCGCAGACGCAGCAAAAGGTCCAACCTGGCTGCGGCGTCGTCGAGCAGGACAAGGAGGAGGAGGAGCGGCAGCAGGAGGACGAGATGGACGGCATGATGATCGGCGAGCCGGCTAGTCCGCCCGATCCGTGCCTGCGCAACCAGTGCAAGCACGACGCGAAGTGCGTGCCTGCGCGCCAAGGCGACTTCGGCTACGCGTGCAAGTGCAAGGCGGGCTTCAAGGGCAAATACTGCGAGCAAGGTGAGGAGGAATGTAAGTATGACGATGGAGGTGGTCTACTAATTTGTTTTACACAGCAAACGGAAAAATATAGAACTGTATAGGATGACTCCGCGTTTAAATACTAAATCTTAAAGTTTTATCACAACTGCATTGAATCGTGCTTTGTTTTTATATTTTTCGGCTCTATACCTATGCACGACTATATTTAAAGTCGAACTCAATGGTGTCTCACAAGATACATTGTTTTGATTTTCTATATTCAACAGAGAGGTAGAAACTCGACCCTGTCGAATGGTGCAGTCATTTATGTCTCTAGAAATTATTAAAAAAGGGTTCAGTCCAATGGTGCAGCAACTTCGGATTCCTATTCTCTTCAGAGACATAGAAACTCAAGCTTTTCGAATTTTACTGGCAATGATTTTCGTTAATGTCCCCGAGAATTATACAAAAACAGCGCAATGCAATATCGCAACGGTTTCGACTTCTCTTTACTCTACCAAGTTATAGAAACTGGAGACTCTCTAATACTATTCTAGTCAATATTTCTGAGAGTATAAAAAGAGGGTGTAATATTGCAAGAAGTTTTAATCTTTTGAGGGATGCAAGTAGTTTGATTATTCTCATTTCTGCATATGATTTTGTTGAAAATAATTCCTTTCTTTGGTTCCTTTGTCTGATTTTTATTTACCGTTACAACTCAGGTATGTAAAGCACAGAGGATATGATGTAAAGTATATTTATGTATTATATAAAGTATAAAAAATTTCAGAGGTTATGTTGAAAAAATGATCGATATGCTATTAAACTTTAATAATTTAGTAATGAGGTCTGTTGGTAGATCCTGCACATCTCCACTGGAAGTTTTATGTTAGTTCAGCAATATTTAAATCTGGTTGATCAAAAAGTATACACCAGTGCAGGTTATTGTAGCATCTACGTACAAATGAATTAATGGCTCATTGGCAATTATTCCTTTAGGAAAAATTTTCAACACAGTTTAATTAATTAATAAAATGAAAAAAATCATGTCGTATATAGTTTTTTGAAGCATAAAATAGTTTTCATTTTAATAGTACAAATGAATTAATGGCCCATTGGCAATTGAAGGGGTTAGAATAGAAAGGGTATAAGTGCTGTGAGGTAAACCTCTGAATGCTTTCCGGACTAGCTACAGTGGAATTTAGTAGGTTTTTTTTTCATAAGAAAAACAGTAATTTTGATTTGAAAATGGTTTCGTATATTAAGGTTTAAATGGAAAGTACATAAATAATTAATTAACTACAATAGTTAAGATCTTAATTTGCTCAAACAGAATATCCTTATGTAATAGTCAAACTCGTAGAGTTTGAGCTATTTAGGCGCCAAGTAATCTTTTAAAAGAATTACTAAACTTTATTCTAAATATTACAATACCAATAATTTGGCGAGAAAATAAATATTACACGGAATATTAAAAATTCTATGAATAGATTTTCATATACGTTGAATCATAACATTTATCTATAAAATTAACTAAATAGAAAATTACTAGATCTCTGACCTTAGGACTGATGATTAAAATAACTCGATACGAAGTCTCAATACTGGATGCTCTATCGTCAAACCTTAGTAGTAGAAAATATCATCTAGGCACAAATCATAGTCAAGAATCGTCTATGTTTTTCTATTCCTCCAGTTATCGTACAAATGTAATATCCACCAACTGGTACTAATATGGTACCCAATTTTTTTTGTCTCTTTTAAGCGAGAGACTGCAAATGGAACTTTTGACACAAAAATCCGATTAAATCGAGTATAATAATCATTTACTCTAATAACTATTAATATTTAACTTCTAAGTTACAAATCCGTAAATTACGCAATAATATATATTCAAACTTACTACTACAATATATATTTAAATGTTTAACGAAGAAAGTAGTGTCTAGCTCGCTGGTAAAATTAAAAATACTGTGCATATCGAATATTTCAGTGCTTCGCGATGTTGTACAAAAAATTCAGTAAAAACAAAAGTGGAATACGAAAAACCCAGTGCGAATTATTTTATTTATTTCTAAGGATTGACTATAGGCAACCCACAATACCATTTTAGTTTAGTTTTAAATATGATAATTAATAAATTTAATTATTTACTAAAAAAAAGTCAATTTTTAACGTTACAATTTCCTCTCTAACTTCCAAAAGAAAAATTTTGGAACAAAATTTTTCTTTTCAAAAAGTAAGAAAAATTAATACAATATAATACTTATCTAAATAATTACAAAAAAATATATACAAAAAAATAATAATAAGTCTAATTAAACTAACCATTGTCAACATCCCTATCAGTATCAGTTTCCGCTTCACTACTCTCAGAGCCAATAGGCTTTAAATCCTTAACATGAAAATTTCCCAAAAATTTATTGTCACTATCAACCAAACCATAAATATTATAACCTATTTTCTTTTTAATAGTGAATGGACCGCAAAACTTCGCTCCTAATCCTGCCATATAATCTTTACTAGCATTTGATAACTTAAAATTTCGGCGATATACCTTTTGACCCACACTATATTGAACAGTTCTTCTACGCAAATTGTAATTGTGTTTATTAATATTAAACGCTTTATTGATTTTAACCTGAACCTCGTCGAATAAACGATTAAAACCTTCTAACTTTTTTTTGTAACTATTAGGGTGATCCAACTTTAAATCTTTTCCCAAATAATTTTTATCACCAAATAATTGCATTTCTCTACCGAAGTTTATAAAATAAGGCGTATGACCTGTAACTTGATTAGTAGAGGTTCTTATTGCGCAAGAAACCTTTTGAATAAATTTAGACCACGTTTTATGGTTTTCTTGTACATAACACCTAAGCATAGTTTTAATATTTCTATTAGCTCTTTCACAAGGATTAGCATGTGGCGAATAATGACCTGTATAACGTACCCTAATATTATATTCTTTCATTAAGTTTTGAAAAGCGTCGCTTTTAAATTGTACCCCATTATCACAAATTAACAAAGATGGCGCGCCGAATACAAGAAAAACGGATTCTTCTAAATGTTTTAAAATCGAAGGAGTTTTTGACGAGCGTAAAGGAAATGTAAGAACAAATTTACTGAAGAAATCATAAACTACCAAAATATAAGTAAACCCACCCGAAGAAGGTAGAGGACCAATCAAATCCGTTGCAAGGACATCCCAACATTTTGAAACTTTATCCCCAGTACCATCCATAGTACCAGCAGCACGTTTTTGTTCTGGCTTAGAACACGCACAAACGTTACAATTTCTAACATACCTATAAATATCAGCACGCATTTTTGGCCAATAAAATTTTTGAGCCACCCTATTTAACGTTTTGAATACACCAGTATGCCCCGCAGTAGGTATATCGTGACAATGTTTAATCGTCTCCGCGCGACGTTCCTTGGGTATGACTTGCCTCCAACACAGCGCGTCATCGCAGAGCTCGGGATATCGATGCGCTACGTACTTAAATAAAGTATTATTTTTGATACGCCACTCAGAAAACTTTTTAGGATTATTTGCAACCCTCGTTAACATATTTAAATACCACTTATCCTTAATTTCATCTAAATTAACTGAATCTAGTTTGATATTCCGCGAAAGAGTATCTGGTACACAATGTTCTGAACCTTTTCGGTGAATGACCTTGAAATTGTATTGTTGCATTTTTAATGCCCAACGCCCTAATCGACCGATATTGTCTTTCATACTATCAAGCCATTTTAAACTATAATGGTCTGTTATCACACAAAAGCTTTGACCTTCAAGATAACAGCGTAATTTTTCGACACACCAAAGCACACTTAAAAGCTCGCGTTCTGTAGTACTGAACCGACGTTCGTTCATAGTTAACCCTCGACTTAAATAACATATAACGTGTTCCCCGTCCTCAAAATTTTGTGTCAATACTCCCCCAATTGCATAAGCAGACGCATCACACTGTAATGTAAACGGTAACTCAAAATTTGGACATTTTAAAATAGGCGCAGAAATTAAACAGTTTTTAATAGATTCTAAAGACTTATCGCAATTTTCGTCCCACACAAACGATTTATTTTTCCGCAGTAAATTAGTCATAGGTGCAATTTTTGAAGAATAATCTGGAATAAACTTTTTATACCACGCTGACATACCAATTATACGACGGACTTCCGAAACTGTTTTTGGCGTAGGAATATCAACAACAGCCTTAACCTTTTCCGGATCAACCATTAGACCATCCTTAGAGACTACGTAACCAAGATATTTCAGCTGTGGCATACAAAACTTAGATTTTTCTCTATTTAGTGTTAAACCGGCGTCATATAAGCGTTTAAGTACCATTTCTAATATCTCTAAATGTTTTTCAAAAGTAGGCGATATGATAATTATATCGTCAAGATAAGGAAATACACATTTAGCTAATTCAGGCCCTATTACAGTGTCTACAAGTCTTTGAAAGGTTGCAGGCGCGTTACAAAGTCCAAAAGCTAATCTTTTAAAATGGAACAACCCCCTCCCCGGAACTGTAAAACTAGTATACTTTTTACTGTCTTCGTCTAATAAAATTTGCCAATATGCACTCAAAATGTCTAACGAAGAAATATAATTTGCCTCACTCAAACAGTTTAAAATAAAAGAAATAAAAGGCAAGGGATACGCATCCTTTTCGGTTACCGCATTAAGCCGCCTAAAATCGACACAAAAACGATAAGTTTTATCCTTCTTAGGTACCATTATTATTGGCGAACTCCACCCACTATCAGATTTTTCTATGACGTCTTGCTCTAACATACGATCTAATTCCTCATCTATGCATTTTTGTACAGCCGGTGATACTGGATAATATCTCTGTTTAACCGGATCAGAAGCACTTACTTTAATTTTATGCTTGACTAATTTACAACACCCCAATTTATTGCCCATCAAATTAAAATATTTGTCGACTAGTGTTTTAAGTTTTAAATTTTGTTCAGGACTTAAATCGGACTTTACAGAGACACTATTTAAAATACTATTTTCTATTTCTTCACGACTAAAGTACCACTCCCCCCTACGTAAATCAGGTACTACCCCCATTTTATACCAAAATTCAGTGCCTAAAACTAACGAATGTTTTATTTCCGGAACAACATAACAAGTAAAAGTTAATACTTTATCCTTTAACGCAATAGGTAACGTAACTGTCCCTAAACAAATACTGGTAGTATTATTAGCAACTGTAACACTGTTTACACTATTACCAACTTCTAACTTTAAATTAAAATTTTTCAAAATTTCCCAACCGTTTCCACCAATAAAAATTTTATTTGCACCAGAATCCAATAACCCATAAAGACTTTTACCATATATTTCAACTTTCATATAAGGACATTCGTCATTTTCAGCCTGCGATAATATATAATCTAACACTAATTTAGTTTTTAAAAATTCATAAGAATTTTCCACAATATTTTCCTTACTATTGGCCACATTATTAATCGAGTTCAAATCGCGACCCCCTAATTTTGAACCCTGGACCCGTTTCCCGAGTTCCTAGAATTTTCCATATTCCCTGATCGCGGATTACATATCGGACAAGTAAATTTTGTGTATCCTAATTTACCACAACGAAAGCAATGTTTTTTAATACTCTCACGACAGACAGACGCAATATGACCTTTTAACCCACAATTCCAACAAGTTAAATTAGGATTTACTGTTGTATTCTGAGAATTACCGACATTATCACAAACCATAGTTAAATTACGATTTTTAAATTCTGTATAAGACAAATCCGGTTCTAAAAAAGTTTTATTTTTAGACGGAGCTTGAAAATTATCGATACCGTTTTTATTTTGCTCTATTTTTCTACATAAACTTAATAATTCACTTTCCGTACTTATTTCCTGTAACATTAATTGAGTTTGTAAAAATGGTGATATGTTTTTACGTAATATTTTAACCCTAGTAACTTCTGGTACATCAAAAGACAATCGCGAAAATAAGTTTGACATAACCGCTAAATAAATACCTATCGTTTCATTAGAACCTTGTGTACGTGATTTAATTTCTTCCCATAACCGATCATTATAATCATGTGGTTGAAATTCATCCCTTAATTCTTTAACCAGTTGATCCCAATTACTAACACATTTTTTAATTGCCCTAAACCAAATTAACGCTTTACCCTCAAAAAGATCAGAAGCAGACCTGAAAAGTTGCTCTTTACTAACATTTCTAGACAAGCATAACTCATCCACTTGCTCTAAAAATGAACTAAGACTAATTTTAAAAGTTTCCCCATTAAATTTAAGATTCCATTTATTTACGGGCACAAAGCTTAAATTTATAGAAGGTTCTGAAATAAATTTTTCCTCCTTATTACTATCATTACTAGTCGTAGGCCTATTCGGTGTAGAGGTATGCATATTATTTAAACTTAAGGACGCAATTAAAGACGGATCAGTAGGCAAAATTTTATTTTTAAAATTCTCAACTTTCTCTGAAAAATCGGACGATAAACCTAGAGCCTTTACTAATAAAACAGAGCGTTTTTGAACCTTTTCTGTTTCCTTAGGATTTAACCGCTCAATTCTACAAATATAATGACAAATTTTAGTTTCAAGTTTTTTTGATGATTTATTTTCGCCCTTGAAATCACTTAAACGTACTTTAATATCGTCCAAATTCTCTTCACAAATTTTAATTTCATCCTCAAATTTTGGTGGTTGTAAATTAGACACAAATATTTTCCCGGATTTTTCTAAACGTAAAACTTCCCTTAAAGATTTGCGCATTGAATCTACCGTTGCATTTTCTTCCGAAATGCTTCTTACAAACAATTCATATAGTAGTTCCTCTTTAAGCAAATAATTAACGTCAATGACCGACATCGTAAAAAAATTATAAAAAAAGTTTATCGGCAAAATAAAATAAGCACCAAAAAAAATAGTAAAGGAATTCAACTGATACAAATGTTGACTTGGTATAAATACGAAAATATTTTATCAAAATTTTACACTAAATGAAACCATTTCCAAAATTTTCAAAATTACTAAAAATTTATCTCAAAATACTACGTTGGGCGCCAAAAATTGTGAGGTAAACCTCTGAATGCTTTCCGGACTAGCTACAGTGGAATTTAGTAGGTTTTTTTTTCATAAGAAAAACAGTAATTTTGATTTGAAAATGGTTTCGTATATTAAGGTTTAAATGGAAAGTACATAAATAATTAATTAACTACAATAGTTAAGATCTTAATTTGCTCAAACAGAATATCCTTATGTAATAGTCAAACTCGTAGAGTTTGAGCTATTTAGGCGCCAAGTAATCTTTTAAAAGAATTACTAAACTTTATTCTAAATATTACAATACCAATAATTTGGCGAGAAAATAAATATTACACGGAATATTAAAAATTCTATGAATAGATTTTCATATACGTTGAATCATAACATTTATCTATAAAATTAACTAAATAGAAAATTACTAGATCTCTGACCTTAGGACTGATGATTAAAATAACTCGATACGAAGTCTCAATACTGGATGCTCTATCGTCAAACCTTAGTAGTAGAAAATATCATCTAGGCACAAATCATAGTCAAGAATCGTCTATGTTTTTCTATTCCTCCAGTTATCGTACAAATGTAATATCCACCAACTGGTACTAATATGGTACCCAATTTTTTTTGTCTCTTTTAAGCGAGAGACTGCAAATGGAACTTTTGACACAAAAATCCGATTAAATCGAGTATAATAATCATTTACTCTAATAACTATTAATATTTAACTTCTAAGTTACAAATCCGTAAATTACGCAATAATATATATTCAAACTTACTACTACAATATATATTTAAATGTTTAACGAAGAAAGTAGTGTCTAGCTCGCTGGTAAAATTAAAAATACTGTGCATATCGAATATTTCAGTGCTTCGCGATGTTGTACAAAAAATTCAGTAAAAACAAAAGTGGAATACGAAAAACCCAGTGCGAATTATTTTATTTATTTCTAAGGATTGACTATAGGCAACCCACAATACCATTTTAGTTTAGTTTTAAATATGATAATTAATAAATTTAATTATTTACTAAAAAAAAGTCAATTTTTAACGTTACAGTGCAATTTCTTTATTTTAGGAGATAAGTTCGTTTTGTGAAAGATAAGGTTCCGACGTATCGAAATGAAAAGGATTTAAGTAATTTTCATACTTCTAGGGACCTCTATTCTCTATTATCCAGTAGAAAAACATTACTAAACAAAATTCTTCACTTTTTTATGGTAACATAACTTTAACTTCAAATATCTCCAAAAAATGAAAATGTTACTTATACCCTTTTTATTCTAACCCCTTCAATTATTCCTTTAGGAAAAATTTTCAACACAGTTTAATTAATTAATAAAATGAAAAAAATCATGTCGTATATAGTTTTTTTTGAAGCATAAAATAGTTTTCATTTTAATACTAGTTCAAAAGTGAAATTACGACCTCTAATACTGTGGAGAGTATTGAAACGCTCGACTGACGAATACAAATCTATACCGTGGGGAGATTTAGAAAACTATATTCAAACGTGGCGTCATCCTATACACTTCTATAATTTTCCGTTTGCTGTGTAAGCTTGGCTTTTTAATTAATTAACGCCTAACTTCAAGGAGTTGTCAAATAATAAAAAAATACTGATGTCATATTTCAAGGGTTATTTTTCTTTTTAGCTCCCACTTGCAGAAAAGAGCAGGTAAGAGAGTATTTCTCTGAGAATGGATGTAAGTCGAGGAAACCATTGAAGATGGCCAAGTGTGTTGGGGGTTGCGGTAGTTGCTGTCAAGCTAGAAAGAGCAAAAGGAGGAAGGTAATATATCATAAAAATACAAAATTATAAAACTAAATAATTTTATTGATAATTAATTTTAAACACATCAGTTTTTATCCCTGTTTCATACAATTTTTCCTTTAACTTGAGTTAAACTTTAGATATGATTTTATTATAATAAATGTTTTTTTCTACTCCCACCTTTAAAACGCCCTTTATCGTACATGTTTCCATGACACTAAGTGACATTTTAAATACACATTGACAAGTTGGTTTTTAGTCACGTGCTGAAGTTAGTTTTAAGTTAGTTGACAGTTGTCAAATGTCATACAATCGTTAAAATAAAGTGCCTTTCTTGTAAAATAATACTAAATGTGAAAATTATTTTATTATCTCAATACAAAAATATTAAATAGTTTCTTAACGCCAATATTTGAAAAGTTTTTATGAACATTGTACTGACCTTTTAATTTCGCCGGCAGTAAACTATAACTTAAATTCGGGCACAGACTCTACTGTAAAGTCCTCATAAAACATTTCCTTTACTTTCACTGTGAAAAACTGTCAATTTTCAAGATACATTTCGATTTATAACCTTTATAATTGTGTTTATAAAATGTAAAAATGTGACATTTGACAGTTTCCCCTGTTGTTTCATAAATGGCGCTCTATACAAATTTTTGATTTAAATCATTTTAAGATAATAATAAGTATTTGTCGTAGAAAAATAAATTAATGATCCATTCTAAGCCACTAACGTTAAATGTAATATTTGCAATGTTGGTTGCCTATGTACATGATCTAAACTTGATATAATCCATAATATTTTGTCACACAATTTTTATGGTTTGCATTATAGGTGGAATAGATGAAAATAATGTATTACCCGACGAATATTTTTAAACATTTTACATATTATTTGTTAGTTGAATTAATAAATTAAAATTTGGTCCATTTTTGTTTTGTAGGTTATTTTGTAATTTTGTGAGACATTGTTTAAACTATTTTATTTTATTCTATTATATTTTAAGTTGCTATTTCTTATTTATAACACGAAAATCATTTTTATTTTACAATTAATTTTATGTAATAAAAAATGACACAACAAATTTTATGTTACAATTAAAATTATGGCTTTACATAATAAAAATTATAGAATTAATTGTATCTGGACACATAAAATTATATAATTAATTTTATGTTTACACAAAAAATTAATTTCTATATATATATATAATTATAGAAACTATTTCTATGTATATAACTCACAATACTAGAAGGTTCTAGTTTTGTGATATAATTATATGACATAGATAAATTAAACATACCTACCATTTAAACTACTGCAGTTGCCACTTTCGGCCGCACTTTCGCAGCGCCAAATTAATTTTATGAGTAGACAAAATTCATTTTATAATTTTATCTGTATACATAAAATTAATTATAATATTTTTATTATATAGTCATAATTTTAATTACAAAATAAAAATCAGTGCATTAATTTATGTGTACACATAAAATTAATTATGGCACGCCGTTTTACTTTTTATTTGAATAAGAAATATTAAGTTATTATTATTATTATCAGTGGCGGATTTACCAGCAGGCTGAGTAGGCTCGAGCCTAGGGCGGCAGATTTTGGGGGCGGCAAATTTGGGGAACGATTTTTTTTTACCTCATAGAAATCAAAAAGATTTTTCTATGACGGTTTTCTGATGTCTTACAGATAGAAGTCTGCAACAAATTTTGTCGATGACTTTTCTCTCTCACTTGTCATTGCACATTCCGAGAGTAGCAAACTTCAATATTCTAGAGTAAAACAGCTAGTTCGCCGCCCCTCAACCAGTAATCGGCCTCTCGCCTCTGCGCCCTTTGCCCACACTTCTTATGAGTGAAAAGAGCGAAATTGTAAAAATATGCCCCCCTTCCCACTAACAACCCATACATGCCAGTCTTACTACTGGTTGGAGGCTACGAACTGGATGGTTTGTATATAATTTTTCGATTTTTATTCGAATATAATGAATAATTTAGTGAATAATTTTACCGATTTCAATTTTATGTATCGACTATTATGTGTTTCACATGCACTAGTAGCTTCAGAAAATTCGATTGGAATTCAAAAAAAATTGTTGCATTGTAAAAATAATGGATGATATGACAATAATTGTTGAGGCAAGGGCGGCAAAAACTATTCAGCCTATACCTTCAAAATTTGTAAATCCGTCACTGATTATTATTGTGTCACAAAAATATTGCACAGAAAAATTAAACTAAATAAATAATTCAGCCTCTTATATTAACATATTTACAAAAAGAATAACTTTTTTGATATGTATAATTCTAATTATTAATATTTAACTTAATATTTCTTATCCGATTTAAAAGTGTCACTGGGCCAAAAAATCAACTATTTTTTTTAAAGTATGCCGAAAATATGGTTTGGGTGACAAAAAAAATTATTGTGAAAGTTTGAGTCCATAATATTAAGAGGTCTATCATCGCAATTTTAAATTTTTTTCCTCAGCAAGTTTTGTCTCAGAATTCCCAAACCATTGAGTTTAACAAAATTGACTATTGATTGATATTTGTTTAAGAAGATTAAATGCTCTACAAAAAAGTTTAAAGTAAAATTTTCCGTCAGAACAACCGTTTCCTTAAAATCATGCCTTAAAAATTGGTATAGTTTTACATTTTGTTCTTTTAACTTTGGAATTTTGTAATTCATGTAAAAATCAGTACCCATAAAAAAACCGATAAATATTCTTATGGGAAACCAAATGCTTTACAAAAAAAGCCTCTTAACATTTTTGGCTTAATTCACTCAATCAAAAGTTATTCAAGGTTAAAGTCAAAAGTCAAAACGAAATTCTTGTTTTCTCCTCAATAGATTTATTTTTTATGGATGATAATTTGATTTTTTTCTTTATAATTAACAATTTCCAATAAAAAAACAACATGATTGTTATTATTTAAACGATTAAATAGGTAACAGTGAAAATAATATTTTCTATAGCTTCTTAAAGCAAAAAAATTCTAATGTGTTATTTTTTTTTTTAATTTTCAGAATTTTTTTTTTTAATTTCAGTAACATAAAGATTATTATCGATATTAAGAATCCAAGTTTTTAACTGACCCAAAAAAAAATCTGGAGCGGAAAAAACAAGAATTTCGTTAAAACTTCAAATTAAAAATGTTAAAAGACTTTTTTTGTAGAGCATTTGATGTCCCATAACAATATCTATAGGTTTTTTCCGGGTAATGAGTTTTACATGAATTACAAAATTCCAAAGTTAAAAGATCAAATTGTAAAACTACCAATTTTTAAGGCATGATTGTAAGAAAACGGTTCATCTGACGAGAAATTCCAATTTAACCTTTTTTGTACAGCATTCAATTTTCTTCAAAAAATACTCTTAAGTCAATTTTGTTAAACTCAATGGTTTGGGAGTTCTGAGACAATACTTGCTGAGGAAAAAAAATTCTTAATATTAATATTATGGACTCAAACTTTTACCATAATTTTTTTTTGTCGATTTTTTTGGCCCTGTCTAGTAGTTAACGATTTTTCTGCCATCTTTAAGTCAATAAAGAAAATTTGTAAACTGAACGCGCATAATTTTTTTATATGCGTTGGTATGCAAATCTTAATTTTCACCAAAAGTTTACTTAAAGTTACTTTAATATTTTATAAATATAATTAAGATTATTTTCCTCATTATAATATGAACCAATCAAAAGCTTTGAATTTTCGAATAAATTTCGTTTAAATAAGCGATTAAATCACTAGAACTATTTAACAGCGATTAAATTTTAGCCTCCATATTGGATTTTTGTTTACGATTTTATGGTGTTATTTACAGTTATCTAGTTTACGAAATATCAATTATTACTTATTACATACCTTAAATTAAGGGAATTTTCTTTAAAAAAATATTTATAAATTTTGGCACATACGTCAGATTTTATGAATTGTCAAATAGTTTCCTTTAATTTGAGAAATAATCTAGACGTATATCACTCAACCTATAAATTTAATCTGTCAAACTATGCTCAGTAAGTTTTTTATTTGATTTTTCTTTTTGGAAAATAGTTTCATGCAAAATAATTAAAAATAAAATTATTTTGCATTCAACAGCCTAGTTTAACCGATTAAATTCATAGTTCTCGTGATATAATATATGACAAATTTTATAATGCAAATTTTATAATGTCAAAATTAAATTTATTAAGAATCTTACACATTTTATGTTATTAAAAATACATAAAATGTATCAAAACATAGACTTATTAAGACGTGTAAAAAAACAATTGCATTTCTTTTTCAGGTCCGCTTGATGTGCCCCGACGGCACCCGCTACACCAAAGACATAGACATCGTGCGCAAGTGCGCGTGCACGAAGAAATGCTACTGACTGGAACAAGCCGCTGCTCACAATTCTAACACACAGCCCTCGCAACAACACCAAAACATCGAGCCTGTGACAATTCAACAACAAACAAACGTTCCCCTGACCGACCTCGACTACTTCGAAGAATCCCCCCCACAGGCGTCAGCCTACCGCCTGAAAACCACCGCGGAGCCGCCCAGCAAGGCCTACCAACTCACCTTCCTCACGGAAAACAAAACCCCCCAGGCCAAGAGCCTGCGCATGACGGAAAAACCCGCGGAAAAACCTTTCGACTTCTACGGCAGCAACGTGGGCGTGTACTTCAAGAAAATCCACGCCCCCCACGACAACTACTGCATTTTATCGGCGTTGTTGTACCTGGTTACCGTAACAGCTTTTGTTTATCTGGTTAAATACTGGATACAGCACAGCATACACGCGCAGTGCGAACAAATGCAGATGTGGTAGTCTGAAGTTGGCGGATTTGGTTTCTTTAAGTTGGTAACTTAAGCGAGCCGAATTATGCGCGTCTGATTTCAGATTTGTTGGAAATGGGGAAATAATAGTTATGAATTTGTATAGTTAAGCTATATTGGAATTATTTGCTTATCTTACAATTTATTTCACACATTATTGGACAAATATGATTATAAGGTTGGTATAATAACTTTTTTTATATACAGGGTCAAAATCAACGATCTACAAAGAATAGAAAGCAATTTTTTGGATACTGTGGATGCAATAACAAAATTTGTTTCTAAAACAGAAAAATTAAATTACGCTTTTTTAAGTATAGAAACTAAAATATTAATAGGTAAAAAAGTTTGAGAACAAATTCGTAGTTTATTAAATTTCCTACAATTTTTTTCCAAACAATTTTTTTATATCTTTAATTTTTAAAAAGTTATACTTATGGTAATAAAAAAATCTTAAAAATAAGACAAGTATGTATATAATTTTTTAAATATTAATGATGCGTTAAAATTGTGGGGAACAATTTTGTAGGCAATTAAATGTATAAAATTGCCTTTTTTTAATTTCGCATTTTTAGGTATAGAAACTAAACTATTGATGATAGGTCAAAAATTGTTCCTAAACAATTTTTTTATATCTTTAATAGTTAAAAAGTTATAGCCGCATTAGTTTGCCTATAAAACATTTTTGTAGAGCATTAAATTCCCTATCAAAATGGGTTACATAAAAAAAATTCCTATGTCGATATGTAAATTTTTAACACCCAAGTATACATAAACATATACATTACATATATGGGTTTACAAAAAGGAAAAAAAAACTATTTTACATTTTTTACAGTTTTTTTTTCGATTTCTAACCCTCAAAAAATGCGACACAGCATTTTTATTGTCTATGGTTATTTTGCAATTTTGATTTTTCTGAAAATGTCTTTTGAACATGTCTATAGAAACAATTACTTTTGAGAAATGGCAAATAAACGAAAAATGACCAAAAATGATTTTTATCAAACAATTTTTATTCCTAAATTTTAAGAAAAATCAAAATTGCAAAATAACCTTAGACAATAAAAATGATGTATTGCATATTTTGGGGGTTTAAAATCAAGCAAAAACTTTTATCAAGAATGAAATTAAAACTAACTGTCCAAATGGCATACAACATTTTATCTTCAAGTTGTAATATTTTCAGAATTTAGAGAAAGTTAGGTTAAAACTGTCCGACAGAAGTAGAATTTTAATATTGGTCATGATAGGTAGTAGTAAATTAAATTTCCTACCAATTTTTCCCAAAAATTTTTTTTATATCTTTATTAGTTAAAAAGTCGCATTAGTTTAACTATGATAATTAATAAATCATAAAAATAAGACATGTATATAATTTTTTAAATATTAATGATGCGTTAAAATTGTGGGGAACAATTTTGTAGGTAATTAAATGTAGTATAAAATTGCTATATAACTTTTTGACCTATTGCCAATGGTTTAGTTTCTAGACCAAAAAAATGCATAATTTAACCAAGACAATTTTTATCAAGGTATTTAACTAAGTGAAATATTACCAATGGAAACATAAGTGATAAGAATTTTTGTAGAGTATTTTATGCTTCCATGGAGCAATAAATTCTCTGCAAAAAATTCTATTTACTATCGCTATTATTTCGCTTGGTAAAATTCTTTTTTTATAGTTACGCGTTTTTAGGTATAGTAACTAAACTATTGATGATAGGTAAAAAAGTTTGAAAACAAATTCGTAGATCATTAAATTTCCTACAAATTTGTTCCAAGGAATTTTTTTATATATTTAATAGTTAAAAAGTTATATGCGCATTAATTTACCTACGATAATTAAAGAATCTTATAAATAGGACAAGTAGGTATGTAACTTTTTAAATATTAATGATGCGATAAAATTGTAGGAAACAATTTTGTAGGTTATTAAATGGACTATAAAATTGCTGTATAACTTTTTAACCTATTACCAATGGTTTAGTTTTTAGGAAAAAAACGGGTAATTTTAAACAGAAAGTTTGTTTTGAGGTATTTAAAAAATGGCTACAAGGGATGCAGAAGATTTAATAAAAAAAATTACCTATTTTTTTATTAATTTTTGTTTTGGCATAATATTAAGCGTTTTTAACGCGATTCTATATATAAAATCAAAAAATGCAATATACATTTTTTTTCAAATTCCCAAAATTAAAGAAAATTTTATTATACATACATATACAAATATTTGTCCAATAATGTAATATTTAATACGCTTGATTAAAACCATATTTATACAAAAAAATATTTATATATTTCAAATTTCAAATATTGTGCATGTTTTAGGTAATAAACTATATCATGTCTCATATGAATACTAAGTAAATAACAGTATTATTTAATTACTTACTGATTTAAAACAGCTTGAATCAAATAATTTTACCACCACTACAATGGAGCAAACAAACGTATCATGAAACTATTAAAAGTAATGACAAATAACTCGGAACTGACTATTTATATATTAATTAATATATAACTACATAAATAAATAATAAACATGTTAGAATTGTGAATAGCGGCATTGCATTCGACTTACAAAGTTAATCTAGTATAGATTTTTGTGTACAACACATACATATATTTGTACGTTTACATAACGAAATATTTAATTTATATAATACCTATATCATAAAACATAAAACAACAGTTTTTAAGTTTAGCATCGGACCACCTTTTTTATTCATCATCTTGCCATTTTATCATTTAAAAGAATGAAGTTTGTTCCAAAACAAAATATTTTTTGTTTTTTGAACAGACTTTATCACTTTTGTACTGAATTTCATAATAAGTAATAGGTAAGCTTTTATTTTGTAACCAAGGTGGTCAATTAGATTAGAATGCAAAAACCAAATTATTATTTGGTTTTTGCACTTTTTATAAATGTATATAACTATGCAAAGCAAAAGAATCCAAAAGCCTCTAATTTACAATGTTTTTTTCCCAAATTTTATAGGTTTGTTTTACGATCTTGTAAAATACAGGGGGCCAATAACTTGGGTCCTAATTATCGAAAAAATAATAATTATACACATTTTCAAAACAATACAATAAAGTACGTGGATAAAGCAACAAATTTTGTAAATTTTATGAAAGTTGCACAAAAATTGCCGAAAAATAAAAATCTAATTTCAAAATCATTGTAATTTTTTGATTTAGCCCAAAAAACCCCAAAAAGTTGTTGGCCACCCTGTCAGCCTGCGTTTTCGTCAAACTTTTTATTGTTACCAAGTTTTTTACATTCTATTGCCTTGCATATAATTTATGGACACTGATTTCTTGCGCTCTGCTCAGAATTTTATTATTATTATAATAAGTACATTTCTTATTATTAAGTAATTTATTTCCATACAAAAATTTTATTGAGTGTAAGAATAAATTTTAAAGATTGTATATTATATATTTAGTTTTAAGGTTAGACTCACCTATTGTAATTAAATTTCCATTTTCCCTTACGAATCGCAAAAAACGGATAATAAAAATATAAATAAACCAAATTTTTTAAAAGAAATTTCATTAATTTATGCCTAATAATATTGTAATTTATATCCAACTTGTGTATAAAATACATAAATTTATCGTAAATACCTGTGTTTTATTTTACAATAAACCCTATTTTCCTATATAATTTACAAAAAACAAAACATACATTTTAAGGTTAAGTATGTTTGACATTGGGATCAGTGTTGTTACAAGTAAAAAAATATTTGTACCAGTTTTTAGGGAATTATTGTACCACATTGTACCAGCATTAAAAATTGTTCAAAATGGCGGGAAATACAAATTTTAAAATTTATTAAAAAAATGCATATTTATTTAAAAATATATAAATAAAACGTATATAATATATGTTATAAAACCAGATTGTTGAGGTTTTGGTATTTTAAAGAGAAACCTTTTTAAAAAAGAAAAAACATGAGTGCTAATCCCATTTTTCATCAACTTACCTGTCCAATATGATTATTATTTATAAAATTTGCTGCCAAGTTTGCAAATTGCAACAATGAGGTTAATAACAAACACATGTATCATACATTAAATACACTTTAAGTGTCAATAAGACTAAAGAGATGGCACTGGCACAAAAATGAAAAATAAATTGAAAAAACAAAAATAAAAAAAACATTTTTTAAAAATTATACCAAATTTGCCATTGTGGTACCATTGTACCAGATAATTATTAAATGTACCGAATTTGGTACAATTGTACCAATTGTAACAACACTGATTGGGATATTTAATTTCTTGATAGTACGTTGGCAACACAATCCAATTATATTATTAATCTATTGGTAAAATACACAATGAAAGCCTTTTTTGGTATATTAATACAACAAAACTTAATAGTTTTTAATATTAGTAAACTTTAAAACCAAATAAAAAAGATTTTTTAAAAAATCCCATTGACATTTGTGGTTATGTAGCCAACTTCATGCATGTTTCGTTGTCGAAATGTCAAACAACTTTTTACAAAATCAACATAAAACAATTTTAAAAACGTGT